ACACTTTGGAGCCTGATGAGAATTTTTTTTTCTCCGATGGCCAGTTTTTAAAGAGAAATATGAAGTTCTAAATCAGTCTCGCCTTCTTATGCGAGTACAGGACCCGATGGCCAGAAGATGGCAGCATTTTTCTCCGGGTCCACCGGTTTTCCCCGACACTTTTAGAATCAACATCACGCGTTTAGAGTGTTTGGTTGCTATACATGTCTACACGATAAGCCACATCGTTGAGCTATAATTTGTGGCCAGGTCACTTCTGAAAAATAACTTTATAGCTCAGTGGGTCTTACCTGGTAAAATAAAACATACTGTAGTTGTATAGTTTAATAGTCACAGCCAATGTGTCTACCCAATGTGTCCCATGATGGGCTTTCTTGGGGTACCCCGGTTTATGTTCTCACGAAGCACAACGACTGATTAAAATGAAATGAACAAGCATCCGAATAAAAGACCCTTTTGAAAACTCGCCTTGAAACTCGGTGAAGTTCCTATGGATAAATTAATGTTTTTTTTACTTTTCATGTATTGGTCTAAAACATACTCAAATCCCTTCACGTGTCTAATTTAACAAACCACATGCAGAGCCCCATGTAGCCACTGGAGGGCAACACAGCCACGCGAATAGAAACAACCTCCGATTTACACAGCGTGGATTCTTTAAGTCAACAGAATAATACACAATTAGACATTGCGGTGGACATAGCGGCCTCTAGCGGCCATAGATACGCCGCGTGAACCACTTAAAAAAACAACTCGAAACTGCTTAACAGTTGAGTTTCGATACATGTTCGATTAGCTTAATCTTTTTTTTAAATCGATTCTATGTCAGGAGGCTGCAACACGGATTCTAACCCAGGTTTCTAAGCCCTCTGACCTCTCAGCCACCCGGCCACCTCTGAGGCTCGCGTGTCAAACATTACACCGACCCCAGCCTCGCAGACTTCAGCTTCGTCCAGGTTCAGGTCTGGCCAGAGCCGGTTGGACCTGATCACAGTGAGGGGTGGGGGGGGTGCCTACGAACGGGGGAAATACCAACACCCGTGTCCCTCAGTTACAGACAGTGCTGGCTTTATCCCCGGGGTGTCTTCGGGTCGATCGGGACCCGGAAAAAAAACCCCACTCAGCACTCGGCACACCACATCAAGGATACTTCTCGCTGTGGCCGTGGCTGCCTCGCCACGTGACAACTCCCGGTCTACCAACGGACCAGAAACGAATTCCGCACCCCGGCACACAGCATCTCAGGATTATCTCTCCACATGGGCTGCACACGTGATATGAACGGGTGGTGTGGTTTTTTGTTGTTGCCAATAATATCGAATAACCCAGCGGGGATTTGTATAGCAAGCCCTACTCTGCTGATGAGGCCCAGAATGTCGAAACCGGTCCAGCGTTTTCTTGCTGAACCAAACATTGTCAGAAACGCCCGGGGGAGGATGACCTTAAAACAGAGACGGATTATTTGACTGTGAGAGAGATGACCACGCCTTGAGGAAGGCTCGTTGCATCTAGCAGTAGACCGAGCATGGCTTAGGACGATGATTAATAATATACCCGATCCTGAATTCACCAATAGACTTCGGTGAATGTTTTTTTTTTACTGTTTTAATAATATAATTCCTCTGCCCTACTTTTTTTCTTTAATAATAAAAAAAGACGTGGGCATTTTTGTGCATTTATCTTCAACCGCAAATGACAGCAAAAGTTAAACCCGAAGCTTATATTCTTTTTGTTGGCCCGTTTCAGATGAACCTCAATCTCGCAACAATTACCCTGGCGCTCGTAACAGACACACACACACACCTCTATGAGCATGCGGGTGAGTCATTTAATCTCCACGCACAAGGGTGGAGCGACTCACCTCAACGTGGTTCCATAGTTTACGTGGCGTTCTCTTGATTAGAATATGTGGCTTATCCAGCAGCACTGGCTTTAACACGCCTGACTGCCGATGAGATCCCGGTGGGTCGAAACCGGTCCAGAGTGTGCATCTTTAAGCAAATGCTGATGGGATAATTGGTGCGGAAATTCAATAGGCTGATGGGACAATGATATGGTTAATTGTTCGTATAAGTCTCGTTTAATGTGCCAATCGTGACAACACGCGCGGCTGGCAGCAGCGTTCCCCACTCTAACATGCAATGCAAACCAGCCACGCCGTTTAAAAGATGATCTCATGTTCGCAATTCAGACCGAGCCTTTATTTGTGACCACGCGAGAGCCCAAGATGCATTTGACCGAATAATCCGGAATGCGCCCGGTCAAGTCTCGCGAGATGAGCAGGACACAGATCGCGATTAGAAGCTGCGGTGGAGGCTAACGTGTTGGGCAGTGCAGCTAAATCAATGTGTTGTACTCCCCTGCTCCTATGCTCCCCACCCTCACCACCAGCAGCAGTGTGGGGTGGCGATCATCCAGCAGTGTCGGAGTGTCCCGCATACTTTGCGTTACTTCGGTGCCTCCGCTAGTGACTGGTGGCCGTTGACGGGGAAAGCGAATGGAAAAGTCAACAAACTGCTGAATGAGAGCCCCCCCCCACCCACACCATACGGGTCGTGGGGGTCGTTTGACCATACTTCACCACAATAGTGTGGGTTAGACGCAGCATGATAAAGCGCAATGCTGTACAGTACCACTTGTCCATTCCAAAATGTGACGCGACAGTGCATTCATCGATAAAATAATGAGCCGAGAATGTCTGTGTGTAACGCTCCTGACGTCACTCCACGTCGACCAGCCCCCCTCATGAATAATCATGAGCGGGTGACGTCACTCCGCATGATGAAGGTAGAGCGGAAACGAAAGCTAGCTTTCATTTTGACCTTTCTTTAAGGAAAGTAAAGCTAATAAAGACATAATTAATCTATAAAAAGCCAGAGCTTTGATGTCTCGCTCACTCCGTGACGCTGTCATTAATAATCACGAGCGGTTGACGTCACTCCACATTGGGGGGGGTGGGGGCGCCTCCTCACTGAGAACTTAAGCCTCATTAAAAAGCCAGAAAGAACATCATGCCACGCGAAGCCTGTAACCCTATTGAGACGTAGAAGGAAACAGGGCGTCGTGATGAACATGGGATAGAACCGTGACATAAAACAGAGTCTGTGTTACCGGCCTTACAAATGGCACACCGATGGATGCACTGAATATGATTTGACTGTGTGCTTTTCACTTGAATCTGTCAGATTTAATCTTGATTTGAAGCTTTTGTGACTGCAGGAATCCATACTCTCTCTGGTTCTTTCGGTAAAGTCACGTAGATAGAAAAAATAATAGAAGCAATAATAGAAGAAAACACGACGTCGTGTGAAAAAATTATAGAAGACAACACGACGTCGTGTTTTCGTCTATGAATTGTTTCTATCAACGTGACTTTACCGAAAGATCCAGAGAGTATGTCAGATTTACTGCAATACACCCGTCCTTGGACGGGCTATAGGCGAGTAAAATAAGATTAAGAGAAAAAAAAGTACACAACCAAGCCGGCATGCCAGTCTGTTAAGAGAGCCTCGCTTGTGGCGGAGGTTGTGGCCTAACGGGGGGTGGATTCGTTCACGCGAGGCACCGCGTTCTAACACCCACGCGGCGCGAGCGCACTTACGCGTGGCGCGATGCACAACCGCACGATAACGTTGCGTTTATTCAAATGAAACTTAGTTTTTTTTGGTATACGCTGACTGTACAACTGGCGATACAATTCCTTAACCCCTTCGCAACATCTCTGCATTCCACGGGCGCTTTAAGTTTTGTGTGTGTATCGTCTGCAACTGCGGCCTCGGCTGATGCTAATCTCCCTCCAAATAAATTCCCCGTCGGCTGCCCTCGTCTCGCTGCGCCACCCATGGCTCCGTGAGCCTTGCCCCGAGCTCAAGTTCATTGATTAGGTATAGCCCTGTGAGCCATTCGGCTCTAGAATCGTGTGCAACCGCAACAAACAAAAAAACTAAAACATGAACAAGAAAACATCTCAAAGTGACTATGTGCAAACAGAAAATCCAAGAAAAGACAGCAAAAATATTGCAGAAAAAGCACCGTACACTAACACTGTGTGCAAAAATCCCAGTGGGATTGCAAGTCAAACAACAACAACAACCACAAGACAACTTATATTAAAGTCATCAGTCTAACTCTGCTTCCAGCCACTCCGGGGCTGAGCTACGGAAACACGTTTCACGAGGTATAATAGGCCGTGTGGCTGCGCCTATGACCTTGTCACATCTCAAGAGGTTAAAGGAAGAGTTTAAGAACGAATTCAGGCGACAGTGCTAGGAAGGTGGGTGACCACCGACGGCAAAGAGACACGCTCGTAGCACGGATTGTGGCCACGAGAGGGCGGTGTGGCAAAATCCATTGTTCTCAGATGCGTTTTTCGAGTTGAACCCGCGTGCTGTTCGGCATGATGTCCGACTTTGCGCTCCACGTTCAGTTTCCAGAGAAGAGTCGAAGGGCTACACAGCGCAATTTCGGAAACCGAGGTCGTAAGATCATCTTGTTCTGCATTCCTCCCCTCCCCCCGTTCTCCTTCGCCAACCACGACGCACCGAAGCTGCGGGAGGTCAGGTCATCCACCCCCTGGCAACCCGCAAACCATGGGGAGGCCCTCATGCAGCAGTGGATTGACACATGGGCTACGCGCGTACACTCTCTGCTGCAGGCACAAGAGCGCGGCTTGGGACCCAAAAAAAAACACAGCCGGAATTACTCATAAAGTGTCCGAACATACCATATCGATTGCAAGTCGAGGGTATTTAAGAATAAAATTATCTCGCCCATCGATGCGTCAGAGTTTGCGGAGAGCGAGGCGTGGACTCTCACCTGCACTCATTCACTCTCAGCTCAGCCACGTCCCAGGACACAGGATCCTACCTACACCACCATCATCATCATCCGCACATGGGGCGTGCCCACACCACACCTGAGGCACTGTGCAGCAGCGTTCCCACCTACAGCCGAACCCACCCCACCCTGACCCTATAAGCTGCCTCGGATTCCTGACCCCCTCCCCGCACCCTCCACAACCGCTGCCACCCACGCGCACCACCACCACACACGGCCGCCACTCCCAGTCGCGCTCTTCCCCTGTCTCCCCAGCGAGTCGCTCCGTCGTCTCTGCTCCAAAGCGACTCCTTCCAGCGTCGTCGTCGTTACTCCGAGCGGCAGCAGCGGCGCACACGGCGCGGACGGGAGCGACTGCGGCAAAAGTAATAATGATGATGAGACTAGTATCGTGTGAATATTGTTCTACGTGTCGTTGGTCATCACGTCTATCAGTGCCGTGGTCATCATCTTCATCGATGCTGTAGTCATCATCTCTATCAATGTCGTGGTCATCATCTCTATCAGTGTCGTGGTCATCATCTTCATCGATGCCGTAGTCATCATCTCTATCAGTGTCGTGGTTACCATCTTCATCGATGTCGTAGTCATCACCTCCATCAATGTTGTGGTCATCATCTTCATCGATGCCAGTGGTCATCATCTCTATCAGTGTCGTGGTTACTATCTTCATCTTTGTCGTAGTCATCATCTCTATCAGTGTCGTGGTCATCATCTTCATCGATGCCAGTGGTCATCACCTCCTTCAATGTTGTGGTCATCATCTTCATCGATGCCAGTGGTCATCATCTCTATCAGTGTCGTGGTTACCATCTTCATCTTTGTCGTAGTCATCACCTCCATCAATGTTGTGGTTACCTACTTCATCAATGTCGTAGTCATCACCTCCATCAATGTTGTGGTCATCATCTTCATCGATGCCAGTGGTCATCATCTCTATCAGTGTCGTGGTTACCATCTTCATCAATGTCGTAGTCATCACCTCCATCAATGTTGTGGTTACCTACTTCATCAATGTCGTAGTCATCACCTCCATCAATGTTGTGGTCATCATCTTCATCGATGCCGTAGTCATCATCTCTATCAGTGTCGTGGTTACCATCTTCATCAATGTCGTAGTCATCATCTCCATCAATGTCAGCGTCAATGGTTCTCTCGGATAATTACATCGATATCATCATCGTCTACAGTATACTTTTATTAGTGACACCACCAATTCAATCATATATCAATAACACTATCGCTGTCTGCATCAATAATACCACCACCACCATTATCAGCGGCGTACTTCAGCAATATCACGGATATCATCGTCTTTACTTTTTCATCAGTGACAACACCGATGCAACTCAAGTTTCGTACACTCATTTACGAGACTTTAAAACGATCTCTCCCTCCACTCAAGCGACAAGTAACTCGTGTACTGGTCACGCACACAAGCAGCTTCGCGTGGTGCGGCGGTTGCTCGGTTGTTCTATTTGTCCTTGATGGTGATGTGGCCGTGGTGGTGGTGTCGGATTTCGCAGTCGGTTTGTTTTGTTTACCATCTCCTGTTGATGGCGATGGTGGCGATGTTGGTGTGTCGGTGTCGTGTTTCAACGTTGGACTTTTGTACGCACGCTGAATGTATCTCGCACCGTACATCGCCAGCCGTGATAATCGGAGGTTCTGATGTGGTAGCGGCGGCGGTGATAATGGTGATGCTCGTGGTTGGTTTCTAAGTCGACATTTTTCTCCATTTGATTGACGGCCGTGTCTCACAATTGGATGGTTTTATTTTTATTATTTTATTACTTCCCTTCTACGTGACTTTACCGAAAGAACCAAGAAGATGAATCCCTGCAGTCACGAAAGCTTTAAATCGAAATTGGATGGTTGTTTAGTTGGCTACGTACGGTACGAAAGAAGTTCAACATACATACATGGTGATGATAGCCATTGATGTTGCGATCATGGTAGGTGATTACGATGATAATAATGATTGTGGCTCAAAGTTGGTCGATTCCATCTTTCTATTCTTGACTAGCTTCTTTGCCCGTCCGAGGACGGAAGCTGTAATATTTACGAAACAATTGTGCAGCGTATAATTGTATCTCGTGTAAATTTAATGGCAGTGAATCTTGCACAAAAGCATGTCATCAAACACTTCACTGCATGCCACTGTAGCACTGTATATAAACTGACCTTTAATTTGTTTAAATTCACTGCTCTGATACTTTATTCTCTTCTGCTTTCGGTCGCTGGGGTTGAAATAAATTGAATTCGATACAATATCTGGAACATCAACGAGAAATGTCTATTTTACTATAATGTAGAGGCATACATTAGACTTGCCTTTTGTCTCAAGGGCTGAAGAAATAAAGACACCAAATCCGCTTTGTTGCTGCGTATAATTATTAGATTCACTTTCAATAAAGAAACGTCAAACTTAAAGCGAATTTGCGAGAAAAAATTGTTTTCGCTCGATCTTCTGCGCATGTAAAAATCGACCCACTCATGAATATTAATGACGGGGGGTGCGGCATGTGGAGTGACGTCACGCGCGTTACACACAAACAGATATTCTTGGCTCATTATAGTAGTAATGCGGTGATGATGATGCTGCGGCGATGATGGTCTTGGTCTCGGAGTTTGTGGCTTCGTTGCTTACTCCCTCTCTCGGTCATAACAACGTGGGTGGTGACGTACGTTGAACTTCTTTCGCACCGTACGTAGCCAAATCAGACGATCACGTCGATGAAGATGATGTTGATGACGATGTTGACGATGACGGTGATGCCCTCCTTCCCTTCCTCCCTCTCCAGTGACAGTGATGCTCAGCACTAGCAGCATGTCGGAGGGCTACCTGCGCACGGTGACGCCCTCCATGGGAGAGCTGCACACCAGCACGCTGGCCCTGCCGCCCGAGCGGGAGCTGGAGCGCAGCATGGGGGGCTCGCGGGGCCAGAGCGACCGCGTGCACCAGCAGGTGTCCATGATGATGGAGAGGAGCCGGGGCTACAACACCGTGGCGAGCCTCAAGAACAGTGCGTGTGCCCCTCTATTTCTCTTTTTTGTTTTACATGCCGGCAACGAGAGATCGGTCGGGGGTGGCAAAGAGGGTCGAGCCGTTCGGCGCGTCCCTCTTCTTGACGTCAGGGTTCGGGCCATTCGAGCGCACACTCGCAGAGCCCCACGGACTCGTCCGGAGATTCCGTACGGAGACTCGCGCGGGCCTCAAATGTGCACTTGCGCAGAAATGCCATGGACGCACAACAGAGATGCAGTTTCAGTTCAGATATTCGGTTTAAGTTCGCATACACATTCGAAGAGACCCATCGACTCGTGTAGATATCTGTTGGCTTATGCAGACTCCAGGACTCAAGTAGAAACCCATAGACTTCCGCAGAGAACCTTCGACTTACACAGAGACCCATTGACTTACACCGATAGTCATAGACTGGCAGAAACCCAAATGACTCAGATAACCCTTGGCTTACATAGATACCCAATGACTCACAGAGACTCAATGAAATTACACAGAGACCCATGCACTTACAGTATTTGGAGATCCACAGACTTACAGTGCGTTCTAACGCACACACTCACTAATCACGCTGCTAACAACAGCGAGTTCAAAGTTCACATTAATAAAACTCGCTATTTAAAGTAGGGCGTCGTCACACCTGTCCACAAATCCTGTCGTTGTTGTAGATGAACTGTATGCAGCTGAGCTGAGTTTATCACTGGTGTTAGTGAGTTGTGTGGTGAGTTTATCACTGGTGCTAGTGAGTTGTGTGGCGAGTTTGTCACTGGTGTAGTGAGTTGTGTAGCGAGTTTATCACTGGTGTTAGTGAGTTGTGTAGCGAGTTTATCACTCGTGTAGTGAGTTGTGTAGCGAGTTTATCACTGGTGTTAGTGAGTTGTGTGGCGAGTTTGTCACTGGTGTAGTGAGTTGTGTAGCGAGTTTATCACTGGTGTTAGTGAGTTGTGTAGCGAGTTTATCACTGGTGTAGTGAGTTGTGTGGCGAGTTTATCACTGGTGTTAAGTTGTGTAGCGAGTTTATCACTCGTGTAGTGAGTTGTGTAGCGAGTTTATCACTCGTGTAGTGAGTTGTGTAGCGAGTTTATCACTGGTGTTAGTGAGTTGTGTGGCGAGTTTATCACTGGTGTAGTGAGTTGTGTAGCGAGTTTATCACTGGTGTTAGTGAGTTGTGTGGCGAGTATATTACTGGTGCTAGTGAGTTGTGTGGCGAGTTTGTCACTGGTGTAGTGAGTTGTCTAGCGAGTTTATCACTGGTGTTAGTGAGTTGTGTGGCGAGTTTAGTATTGGCGTGAGCTGAGTGGCAAGTTTAGCTTTGTTGTTGGTGAGCTGTGTGGTGAGTCTCGTGGCTTTTGGCTTGGGAGTTTTGTGGCTTTCGTGGGCACTCGACGAACGGACGTGGAAGCACAGACGGACATACATTTCCCGACCAAAGCAAAAGACAGCAGGCTTCAAGAACAATGCTCAAGTGTTGACAAAGTGATATCAAAGTAGATTACATGCAGGCTTAGCCACAGTGATCTAGGTATAAAACGCGACTCAACACACGCGGCCGATCAGTCCCTCGACTCGGTCCTCCCCTCGCCTCATTGCACACGTTCCATAGAACGCAATGTGTGTTCACAGATGAATACAGAATAGCAGTTTACATGGGTACAGGCGGCGTGCGGTGGGATAAAGTGGGGGTACTTCCACCTCTAATACGCCTGGTCCAGCGTGGACGCGGTAGGCGCGTGATGTTCAAGTTCAGTTAATTTACTAGGTATAGCCCTGTGAGCCATTCGGTATCTTAAATCGGGTGCAACCGCAACAAACAAAAAACAAAAACATGAACAAAAAAACATCTTAAAGTGAATATGTGACTGAGATGTGAGCAGGTTCGCGGCTGCAACCTTACCCGTCATGGCATGAAGGGTTTTCGGATTATATGCGCATCCTGCTGTGGTGTGGCCAGGAGATGATGGCAGTACAGCAATGGATTCCTGCATCCCATCCGTGTGGAGCGCCGTTTATCCGACGGATCATCGCGCCGTGCGCTCCAGTTCCCTCCCGCACGAAACCAAACACATCGTTCATGGAATGGAATTGGCCGAACACCCCAATGCAGGACCCTCATGACAAGACAAATGAAAAAGAGTCTTGGGATTTTAGTGAGGCTGTCCTGGATCGAGGAGTAGCTCTGCTGTGGTCTCATAAAGTAGCGCAACCGTGTCCCTGCAATGTGCACTAAAACAAGCTTGGTCGCCCCGCACATAAATTCCACATAGGCATGTTCACGCACCTAAACTCACCTGTGTGTCATAACATTACCTTAACGTGCAGCCCTCGATCAATTCACGTACTGATGAAGGTTTCTCTAAGTCATGTCGGCAAATGGAGGCTTTTTGACTCGCAGCTAATGATTTATATTATTTAACAAAAATAAAGATCAGTAATTTACAGCTTTTTGTCCATCCACTGCCAGACGATGGCCTCCTCCACGCAGTGTCAGTTGTAGGGGTTGTTTGACCATACTTCACCACGCTAGTCATTGGGGGTTGGTGAAGTGGTGAGGCCCAGGACAGTTCATATATCACTCGCCACTGATGTCAGCCATCTTAGGGCGTTGGACTCAGTCTATGTATGTTGAACTTCTTTCGCACTGTACGTAGCCGACCGTGCTCTTTGGAGGTGTAGAAGGGGGGTCATAACTTGTGCACTCTGGCAGCTAAGATGTTCGGTGCGACTGACAAATATCGCTCGGACGCGGTCGTCCTCACGTGGCCATGGGTAGTACGCAATGAAGCAGACTTGGCACTCGGCATAGAAGCAAACGAAGCTACGCTTCGAGCCCCAAGTGACTCAAGGGACTCATGAAATGCATCTGGGTGAACCAAACATCAGCTGTAATTCGAATCTTACTAAACCTAAACAAGACTAGCCTTTTGCCCATCCAAGGACGGGTGAATTGCAGTAAATCTGAAACTTGCAAACGAAAAGCAGACCGCGACGTGATGTCCATTGCATCCATTCGTGTGCAATTTGTAAGGCCGCGGTGACACAGACTTAATTCATTTTAAGGTTATAATCCGTTGTTCGTCACGTCGTCCTTTTTACTTCGATGTCTCAATAACGTCACGGAGATCGCGTGACGTGAGGGTTCTGCCTTTGTAGTGGAGTGACGTCAGCTGCTAATTATTATTAATGGCGGGGGGTGTCCATTTGGAGGACGTCACCTGTTCATGATTATTTATGAGAGGGGCTGTTTGATGTGGAGTTATGTCACCTGCTCATGATTATTAATGAGGGTGGGGGGGGGGGTCCATGTGGAGGACGTAACCTGTTCATGATTAATCATGAGGGGGGCTGGTCATTTGTGGAGTGACGTCATGTGCGGGACACACAGACATTCTTGGCTCATTATCGGAGTAAATTGGTAACACTTGAAAAAAAAACAATTCCTGTCATCACCGTCTTGCTTGATGACTAGGTGATTTACAGATGGTGCATCGGCCAGTCATCTCAGTCAATCAACCCATGACACCTGGGTCTGCCCCGTATCCTCCTGCCGGCGGGCGTTTGACACTTCACGTGGCTTTAAAGTGCACATAGCCTGGCACAAGTGCCGTGTTGACGTCACCGCCACTGTTCCATCATCCTTCCCACGTCCCTTAGTTCCCGTCTCCATATCATATCTTTTCGCTCGAAGTTTAAAAGATGTAAAATGAAGTTAATCCAAAAAAAAAAGTCTCTTCCTATCGTCCATGAGCACAGCCCAGAGCTGCCTCGTGTGTCGGTACCGCCTGCAATGTTTTTATGCGGTCAACAACAAAGAAGCATGTGGGTATCCATTTGCAGTGAGTTGGGTCGTACTCAGATTGTAAATGTCGTGGCTTGGCTCTCCAACACATCGGTTAGTGCTGTACTAGTACACTATACACTACACTATATACTACACTACTACAGAATACACTAGTTCTGTACTAATGACGAATTGGCACGTTCTGTTTACGTGACAACCCTTACTAGTTGGCTGTGTCGGGTGGTGACGGTTTTAACGACACATTCATATAGTTACACGATCTAACCCAAAAAAAACTCTATTATGAGTGAGTGGAGTTCTCGAACAATTCAAACTGGTAATACTACTACTTGTGCTGGAGGTGGTCACAAAGTCTGTTCTGGCCCATGGGCCAACAACACTAGACACAAAGTGACACTTTGTGACACTTTGTGTGTTAGTGTCACTTTGTGACATTTTGTGTCACAAAGTGTCGAGTGTTGTGTCCTTCCCTCGCACTAGCGAGGGGCGCGGTTGGCTGCGTACGGTGCGAAAGAAGTTCAACGTGCAAGCAAACATACAGATGGGCCAGCAGTCTCGGTGAAATTAAGTCGCGGAACGGATTAAAAGCCCGCGGGGGGGCCGGAAGGTTTTATCATCATCATTATTACTACCCACCCGTGCTCCGGCGGTGGGGGCCTCTGTGGGCGCGGCGAGGAGGAGGCGAGCAGCCATCCGTACGGTGTTGGGTCATTGTTGTCTCGGCGCTTGTGCGTCGTCTGCCCCTGTCGGCTGGGGACAAACCGATGCGACCTTTTGTCGAGCGCCTCGACACTTCGTAGCGTCGACGGTGGGCCGGTGGCTCGAACAAATTGAAGCGTCGATTCAACTTTAACCACAACATTTTTTTGATGATCATGCTAAAGAGCCATCGATGAGTCGATGGGGTCATTAAAAGCAGACGCGCGCGTGAGACTTTAGCGCGTGCGTATACACGCACGCGCTCACACACAAACACAAAGATCTCCCCCCCCAGACAGTCGTAGGAGACTGTTGGGCCAAGGTGCTGTGAGCGAGCAGCACCCTGTGCAGGCCACGGCGGCGTGGGTGGCCAGCACCACGCCTGGCCGCCTTTGTCTCCCCAGTGGCGATGTTTAACTGCACACCGCACCGGGTACCCATTTGAGGCCGAGTCGACCTAGGGGAGAGACCCACGATCGGTTTAAGTGTTCACCACTGCTTAGTGGGAATCGGACTCGGGTCGCCGGGATCCACGCGCAGCGCGTTAAACGCTGCAGTTCCCCACAATACACGTGGACTCACTCGCACAGACACACTTACACACGAACTAGCACTCAGACACACGGACTCACTCGCACAGACACACTTACACACATCCTGAAACACACACACCAACAGTCTCTCGCAGGACAGACTCAGAGACGCACTCGTTCTGGGACGCACATGCACACTTATAGACACGTAACTCTGAGACAAAGACGCCCTCTGACACGCGCACTAACGCTCGGAGACACACGCGCTCACACTGCTTTGCGTCCATTTGACAACGTGTGGATGGAGATGCAGGTTGTCAACGTGTGTTGGTCACTGCTCATGAACAGCTGAACGCTGTCAATTCTTCACGATAACTTCACCTGCAGTTGCATTTGACGTCATGTATCGAAGTCTCTTTACATATTAGTTCAACACACTCCATACCTGTATGTTTGTGTAACATTATTATAATCGTGCTATGATCAATGTAAACCTGATCTACCCAAGCCAACGACGTTATAGAGAATGTAGAATTTCACATCGATTTGTCTTTGTGCTACATTTTCGATTTTTCACGTTGTTTTTGCGCAGACTTCTATTAGCTTCATGGGTGAACGTTATTTTCATTTGTTTTCATTTTCTCATGTTGGTGACCCGAATCACTCTTGCAGATGAGACTTATCCTCCGTCTCTGAGCCCTTACCCGGTTAAACAAAATACATTTACCAACAGCCTGTACGCCGAGTCGATAGTAACCTGTGCACGTGTGGATCGCACGAGGCGTATTCCCCTCCGATGGAGCGGGCGCTCAACCGGCCACTTTGGCTTCATACACAAGCAATGACTATCATCAAGCTTCGGGAGTGATTGTAAAAAAATTCTCAAAGCAGTACCCTCCTGTAAAATGAGTCCTATGATTCTGCACACCTCTCCTATAACCATACCAACAGTCACATTCACTGTCATTATTACTACTACACTAGGATCCTTGCGGAGCGGTGGTTTTCGCAATGTGCTATGAACCCTGATAACCGAGGTCGATTTCCGGCCACGGCTAACGTGGTGATGTATGGCCGAACAGGGAGGCATTCAGCCACAGGGCATGTGGGAAATCGCTCTGCCTCAACTGCGTGGATAAGAAGTCTCTTGAAGGGATCTCGGAAATAGTTCCGTGACATCTCCTTCTGCGGCCCGTGGCAGTTTAGAGTGGACACTCTGTCTCTTGATGCGACACTCATAAAATATTTGGAATTCATTTGTGGGGAAAGTTTCAAAAGTTCTGGCATCAAAAATCACCGTGCCGTAGCTATGCATAGCAACAAAAATAAACGTCAAGATTAGAGATAGGACTACGGATTGAGGGCAGCAGCACTGTCTCTCACTGAATACTTTCTGGGCCGCTGGTAGTCTGGAGCAGGTGGCACGTGACTAGTAGCCTAAGCCATGGTGAGAGCTATACTCGATGTGGTGTGCTGGGCGAGGATTAACTTTGTCTGGGCCGCCAACCCCGAACAGACCTGGCTAAAACTAAGCCCCGACTGTGAGTGCCAAGTTCCAAAAGGTGCCATCGTGAACGTCCGATCGAGCAAACCCCACGCGCAGTGTGTTCCGCAGAGTCGAGGGCGCAACGGCTCCAGCGAACCGCCAGCCAGCCCGAGAAATTCTTCGCTCAGACGATGAACGGAGGAGGGACTCTGTCGCAGGCGAGCGCATCCATGTCCTTCGCGCAGACCCCGACACGGAACTACTCGTCCAGGTCCCAGGGATACATCTTCGACACCAAGGTGAGCAAGGATGTGGCCAGGTCACGTTGCTTTTGGATCTACAGGCAACTTTCTTACCGAGCGATCCTGTTGTTAAAACTGTGCAAGCAGAGGCCATTGCTCGCACTCTCACGCCACTGTGGGCGGAAGGGTCTCCGCTTGGCCTACTCTTCCATGCTGGCCAGATGCCTTGGAAGAGGTGGGACTTACCCACACTGTACCTCACCCCAAGCGACCTGCTGATCGCATAACGGCGTTGTACCCCTTCATAATGGTGATTCGCAGAGGTAAGGGGATTTAAGAACTGAGAAAACCGCCCAACTGCCACACCAAGAGACCATACCAAGGCAGCATCCCAATTATCTCGTTATCTCAAATAACCACTTTATTATTATCTCAGATAACCGCTTTGTTCCGAGGCCTCGAGATGGATTGCATAGGAGGCGGCGCTATAAATAATTAATGATGATGACGCCAACCGTGGAGGTGGGGGAAGCGTTGGAGTGTGGATGTTGAGCTTATTAAACAGTCGATGTTGTGCCATCATCATTATCACCGAAGAGGTAGTTGTGTTTACAGCCGATTTGTCGGTCCCCCGCTGAATGAAGTTCTCCTCGTGACGCGTCGTTTGTGGAGGTTGTTTGGTTATACTTCACCATGCTGGTCGGCGCAGGTTGGTAAGGGAGGCAGCCCGAAACCGGGTCATAGGTCACTCGCCACCAGTGTTAGCCGTAGCCGGCAAATCAAATTATGTTCGGTGGGTTCATTACCAGCTGTCCCGTCACACAATCAGTCGACTGTCACGCCGCTGTATACTTTGGCGTTGTCTCCGTCTGTTCCAAGGAGCGATGCAGCTGCAACAGTTTCCCATGCCACAGGCCACCTCAGGCCAAATTTAATTCGGTAATCGCAGAAAAAGGTTGAAAAAAGACTTGATGATACAGGCAGTAATGAGAATGGAACTGGCACTGAGAAGTTCAACTTACGCACATGCAAAGCAGTACTCCCCGTTATGGAAATGTAAACATGTTTTAGCTTGTATTCAAATGTTTAAGTGTAGACTTAAGTCGTCAGAAAATAGCGCCGCAGCAAATAACCTTTGTTGTTCATAATACAGGTTTTTTGGGTTAGATCGCATAAATATAAATGTGTTGTTAAACCCGCCACCACCCGCCACAGCCAACTAGTAAGGTTTGTCACGTAAACAGAACATGCTAATTCGTTACTAGTACAGCACACCGGTGTGTTGGAGAGCAAATCCACAACATTTACAATCTGAGTACGACGTTTCACCAGTAATTACAACCGGCATCATCAGGCGGCAGCTAGATTGTAATTACTGGTTGGTTGATCACAGCATGACTGACAGTTCATCCAGCAACACTTCTGCATCAACTGTAGAGGAGTGCACAAGCAATTGAAGGGTGTGGCCGAGGTCGTGTTTGTAGTACATTTGTACCCAAAGGGCGATTGGAAATCTGCGGAAGTTTTGACTTTATATCCAGAGCAACTTCGCTCGGTTTTGGAGTGTGTCTGCAGCTCTGTGCGCTGCGTTGCGATTACAATCTGGCGCCCTCGCGGCTCTCTGTCCTCGTCTTCATCAATTAACGCTTTCATAGGAGCGGAAGAAGAACTGTAGTTGGCACTTCCGTGCATTTCTAGACGAGCTGTAACTTAAGATGAATAGGTGGGGGAGGGGAGGGTTAGAGGGAGGGGGCCACGTGTTCAGCCTTATGCTGCTCGAGGTTGGGAGCAGAGCCAACACCTGGGCAGGGCGGGAGGTGGGAGGTTCAGAGAGAGAGAGACAAGCCCGACTGCTGCCTAACGAGCGTATCGTAGAGGTGGTGTATGTACCACTACCACCACCGCCAGTGTTTTAAACAAACTAACCAGCATCAACCGGGACATGTGGTGAGCGCTGGAAGCAACGCCCCTCTCTGTTGGCACCGCCCACTTTTACATTGCCACGCCCACTGCACCACTAGCCTCCTGATCAGGGTGAGTGGCCCTACTGGTAGTCTCTAATGGTGCCCCCCCACCACTCCAACTGCAGTTCTACTTATGTAGAAGGCCCACCCTTTGCCCGTATTGTGAGTCAAGGAACGAGGCGAGAATATACTAAACCGAGGAGAACATCCAGATTTTCGCAAATGCTTTGGCGGACACACTGGGACACTTTCTGAGACCGCCAGGGACTGTGCCGGCGGTGACGTGGCCGAGCGGCGGCCTGATTTTACCGCTTATTTTGTTGGTGGAGACTTTCAGTTGGAGCCCCAGCGGCGGCTGCCCTGTTTAATACTGTGGGGTGTATGAACATAGCTGCGTGTGCCCCGTCGTCTGCTTCACGTTGGACGCTGGGAGATCCCACGACGTTATTTGTATACGAGCAGGGCCACGTGTTGTTTCGGCACCACGATCACATTTTTTTTGGCCATCAATCGCAAATTACTTGATTTGGGTCAAAGCACACAGCTACACCTCCCCGCTGGAAGAGACTACTCTTAGACACAAATATCTATACCCCCCCCTGGAAGAGACTACTCTTAGACGCACATATCTATACCCCCCCCCCCCCCCCGGAAGAGACTACACTGAGACACACATATCTATACCCCCCCCCCTGGAAGAGACTACTCTTAGACACATATCTACACCCCCCCCCTGGAAGAGACTACTCTTAGATACACATATCTACACCCCCCCCCCCCCCCGGAAGAGACTACCCTTAGATACACATATCTATACCCCCCCCTGGAAGAGACTACTCTTAGACACACATATCTACACCCCCCCCCCCCTGGAAGAGACTACTCTTAGATACACATATCTATACCCCCCCCTGGAAGAGACTACTCTTAGACACACATATCTATACCCTCCCTCCCCCTGGAAGAGACTACTCTTAGACACACATATCTATACCCCCCCCCCCCCCCGCTGGAAGAGACTTACACTCGCCTGCAAAACGTAGCGCCTTCACGATAGCCTAGCACCACGACAGTGGCGCAAATTCCAAATGTAATCACTTATTAATAAAGCAGGATGTTTGGCGGTTTCAGCGCTACTGCTCCGATGAGTCCCGTGTTCTCGTCACTAACATGCCACTGTGCAGGGGCGGGGGTGGGGAGTTTTACAAAGCCTTGAGAATCGCTTTAGGCTGGTCAGCAGCAGATGGAGACAAGCCAGCACATGCGCCGCCACGCATGCGTGTTGTTGTTCCAGTGTTCATGTGCCGAGTGTGTGTTGCGATGTGTCATGTGCCGAGTAGTGTCGTGATGTATCGGCTACAGCAAGAACACTGCTACTGTGACCCTGGCCCACCTTAGGTTCAATCCCTGGCCATGGTAATTACCAATGGATTATTATATTTGGAGCTGACTTCCACCTTCCCCATCACGGTCAATTCGGTGCAAGATGAGTCCTACTTGGTGTGGTGTGGTCACACTATTATTAAAAGGTAAATTGTGAAGTTGCAACCCCAGCGATCGTTTACTCGAACCGCTGCTGTTGGAAGAGCCTCCACTACTCTTCCACGTTGGCCAGACATCTTAGAAGAGATCCCACACTTGATCTTGCTACGCTCAACGTGCCCATGGACTAACTGTGGTGCAGGTGGGCAGAGGCAGAAGGATTTAAAAAAGTTGCCTCGTCGTTCCATCCGTCGCTCCGGGAGATTCAAACCGGGTGACCTCGGCATTTTAAGCTCAACGGCTAAACCACAGCGGTCGGTTACAAACGTGAGCCACCCCAATCGGCCTCAACCAATCTTTCCCGCCGTAGGTCCTAACCCACCACCGCTCGTGTTCCCCTCCGTCTCCGCCCACCCCAGATCTCCCGTCCTCGCACGGCGGGCGCAGGCGACGGCATGCGGCGGGCGGAGAACGGTGGCGACACTTACCGGCGGCCCGGCACCGCTTCGTCGGCCGTGGACGGCTACTCGAGCTACGGGCGGCGCACGCTGTCGGTGGCGCGCCCGCTAGTGTACGAGGATGTCCGGCTGCCCGGCCCGCCGTCCCTGCGCCTCGACGTGAGCCCCGGCGAGCAGCCGCTGCCAGCCCCCAGGGTGGTCCTCGAGCGGCAAAGCGTGTACGGGTCGCAGAGCGCCAGCGGGCTCCAGTCGATGAACCGTCGGCAGGCGACCATGTCGCGGGTGGTAACGCCCACGCCGGCGCTGCCTGCGAACGGCATCACGACGCTCGGCCACTACTCGATGGCCGGCGGTGGCGGCGGCGGTTACTACGAGGAGTATGTGGTGCCCCAGCAACCGCAACCGCAGTATTTCAAGACCATGCCCAACATGGGTCAGCAGCAGCAGCACCACCACCAGCACCATCATCAGCAAAGCAGCACCATGTCACGGAGCTACCAACAGCAGCAGCAGCAACAGCAGCAGCCGCAGCTGCCGCCTCCGCAGCTGGTGCAGGTGCAGCAGGCGATGCCTCTGAGACGCCCGACCACCGCGCCGAGCTACGACCAGTTGGATTACACCGGAGCCGATCAGGCGGCCGAAGAGAGCCGCAGCGGATTCGGATCGAGCGCCACCGCAAGCACAACGACACGCACCACGCAGGTGCGGCAGGTGCAGCAGCAGCAGCAGCAGCAGGAGCAGGTTCGGCCGCCGAGCCCGGCGCAGAGCACCGCGTCGCAGTTCTCCACCATGCAGCACACGTCGAGCGGCGCCGAGTGGGGCCGCACAGCGCAGGCGTCCTTCAACACGTACGTCCCGGCAGCGTTGGGCGAGCGATGGGCAAGCGGTGGGCGAGCGTTGGGGCGTTGTGGTGGCAGGGATGGTACAGGCAATGTTATGTTTGTGTAGCCAGGAAAGCCTCGTAGATTCTCATGACTTTATAACGTTGCTGTCACGTTTTGGCAGTGGCGGGGGGGGTGACGATTGCCCTGATGTGCAATCCCAATTCAGTGATTTGCAGGTCATTTTTAAATTTGGACCTTGATGCTGGCAAGTACAATGGCCTACTCTTTGGAATGACGTGACGGAAATCTCTTAACGGTCTAACTTGTTCATCAGACGACGCGTGTATTCTTTTTGTTTACGATTCGTACACCTGCAGTGGTAATCAGGGCGGCCGCTGGGTTAAAACCGTGAATACCTCTGCAGAAAGCAGATGAAACGTGCTACGGCGAGGCCCACGTCACCGCCACGGAATGTGGTGGCGTACCATGTGATCCGCTGAGCCGGCATCATCGAGATCCTGGTTTTCAATTCGGGTTTTACGATGCCCCTGATTCTCAAGTGTTGTGAGTTGATGGTCTCGGTGCGGTCAACCATGGACTGCAAAAAATAAAATTCCAAATTTGGATTTGTATTTCCTAATTTAATTAAAAAAAAAATCCAAGCTCTGAGATTTTAAATATAAAATTTGTTTTGTTCTGCAATAATTATCTGTAAAGTAGGGTGTGTGAGAAAGTGAAGCAGCACCCGGTAGTGTGACCAAGAAATCGCTTGAAGTAGCTCTGTGACATCTTCTTCCACGGGCCGTTCTCTGCTCTGTCAGAGTTCCGAGTGAATACTTTGGCTCATGACAACGAGAGTAAAATTGGGAAACAAAAAGCCATTTAAGAAAAACGTCATCCTCATACATGTTAAGGAAATTCTCACTGCGTCTCCAGACTCTCTTTCAGGAGGGATCTGGATTGAGATGTTTTACCCGTTCGTCTATGTTTTACTGCATGTGACTCTAAGTCGGAATACCCAGAGCAGATTAACAGGCAGGCAACCTGTATGCCGCACTACCATATGTTGGCTCTGTAAGTTGGAAGATATTATCACTTGCACAACACTGTGGGAAGTAAATAACAGGCAAGGCTTTTATGAATGACCCATAAAACTAACATCGGACTAATATTGTCTCGGAGGAGCTGTGGTGCAATGGTTAGCGCACTGTGCTACAAACCGGCGATCTGAGTTCGATTCCGAGCCGTGACTATCAGCAGTATCTGAGCAGGCCTTGCCTGAATTGGAGTGAATTCGCAGAACCTAAGAACACAGATTATTGATGCCATTAAGCCAAGTGTAAAAATGCCCGATAGTTTTTTTAAAGCATGGGCATTATAGAGTCATTACTAACCGCCCGAACTGAGTTTCGCCAGAACGTTATAGAAGTTTGGCTTAATCACGAATTCATCCAAACTGTGGCTGACTGGGGTGACGTGGAGGCAAAGACGTGGGCACAGTAGACGAGGGCAAAGAGTAAAATAATGAATAAAAACACGCCCTGTCCTGTTGGCAACTCTCAAGGTAAACACGAGCTGTAAGCCACCTTGAGCCGCGAATCTGGAGCGTACCAAGACATGCGGCGGTCAAAGGGGTCGGGAGGTGGTCGAGTTACAGACGGAGGCCTGGAATGTACCACAGCTTTGCGGTTTTGGGAGCGGGGGGTGGGGGAGAAGTTGGAATTCAACATCTCTGATGCGTTCTTAGGGTTATGTCACGCGCCGTTCAGCATGGTGTCCGACGTTTCACTCCGCGCGCAGGAACTGATGTGAATTCAATTGGTTATGACGCGAAAGGAAACGCGGTGCAAGCCTGAAAACAAGTCGGAGAGCTGTACCCCATGCACATCCGCGACAAACCTGCGCGATGGTGGTTTGGTGGTGGCTGGGGCTTTAAGATTTGTGCAGTTGCGAGTGCGAGAGAGATATCATCTCGTTTGGCGGAGGCGCAATCACCGACACAACTGACGCCACAACGCTCCCCGTTGATGCGGGGAACTCCACTGGCGCGTCCGCAAATAACTCCGTTAAAACCTCGACGACCGAACCGAAACTGCGTTCCTCCAACAAGACTTGAGCCGACCTCAATATCGAACCACCGTGTTCCTCATTTTAAAGCGTTCTACTTTCGGCGAATTTGGTGGAGGTTGTTTGTTTTTTTATAACATTTTTTTGTAGATTGACTGCATACCAGTCAACCCCATGCCCTTATACATCTCAACGGTCATCTTACTCACTCTGCTATACAATACACTACTATACACGACACTACACACGACACTACTATGCACTACACTATACATTACTATACATTACACTATACCCTACACTATACACTACTATACACATACCTGTCAACTCCTTATCAGTGCCCTACCTCATTACAGACCAATTCAGACCTTATTGGTCACCGGTTGCCCTCATAAATCTCAATGTTCGTCCTTCAAAGTCCCATCAGAAGGGAGAAACACAAACAAAGATATGTCTTTGGCCCGTATTGAAACGGATGTATGCCGTATGGATCTGAAAACTCAATTTCTCTGTGCAAGAATACGGATAAACCGTATGGGTTGACAGCGATGACGTTGAATCGGCCCATCCATGATCCCTTTGGGGGTGACTAAAATGGATGCCGCATTGTGGCAGTAAACTTGAGTTGCCCTATGCAGAGACTCGTGTAGTTGTGTCGTAATTATTTACGACGAGGTGATGGGATGTTGAGAATACGGGGATATTTTTATGGGAGACCTGCGTCCAGCTTGACCTGTTCCATAGGAACATGGAATTTCCGCCAATGGCTCAAAGATGAGGAAATAACTGACATTGAACAGAGAGACACTTTGACGTGACTTACACTTAAAAAAGACAAGGAAGACATAATCATGCACGTGCAAGGAGTAAGCATTAGCTACAGGTACACGCTAGACCTCAAACTTATTTGATTAGCAGTTACGTAAGCTGATGGGTAGCTGTCAGAGCAAAATGCCCTCGCATATTTGCTGACAGTTCTACAGTATTTTACTCGAGGTTGTCTCTCCAGGTGTTGGACACCGCTTCGATACATTTCGCCAGGTTTTCTATAAGTTAAATCCCTGGTAAGCGACACAACTTTTATACTGAACTTTTGTTGTTTAAATAGGATCACCTTTATGAGAGTTGGAGCTCTCTTTCTTTGCCTGACAGACAACGAGAGACAGACAGATGACAGAGCTGATGCATGGACAGTTTCAACCTTCGTTCGAAAGCACTATGAAGAAATAATATTATTCCAAGTGAATGGCCACGAAGATTGTCTGGGCAATATACGTGTGAGGCTGTCTGCAGGCACAGTCAGAGACAGGGGACACGGGCTAAGTTTCCCCATCTATGTTAAGAATTTTTCCCCAAGTCTCTTATTTACCCAGGAAGCCTCACCGAGTCTCGAGATTCTTTTCGGTACGTGCCTTCTTTCGGCGCGATGGGCCGATCCCTTTTATTAAATATTTTCACACGTGGCATGAAACTGCAGCATCCCGCGCAGGGAAGAATGGGTCAGATAGGTCACAAACATGCTGGCTCTACTGTCCTCACCATAAAACCACTGAACCAGTGCTCTTAACCCCACCATTCGCGCCTACATTAGTACTAATATAATTTACACAAACACAATTATACAATAATGATGATGATCGGGGTGGAGCGGCGGTGAAGCAGTTTGCACAATGCTCTGTGACTCCGGTGACCTGAGGTGACTAACACGAGTGGATCGCGATGTCCGCACCATTCCTGGGCCCTCCCTCTTTAGCTGCCCAGACCGACCAGTTTGCTCACATGGTGTTGGGAGCCCTTCACCTAGCAGTGGGGCTGCTACATTGTTGTAGATGATGTTACATTTAAGCTACTGGAGAAGAGAAAACTGTACGCATGAGATAAAGAAAACAAAACGTGAGAAACGATACAAATGAGGGAATAAGAGTGAGACTGCAAAAGAATAAACGTTGCATCTCAATTTGTGACAGTTCATCGGACGGGTGGGAGATTAATTAATAATTACCACGTCATGACAAACCACATAACGTTTAACACGCGCATCGTTCTGAGGTTTCACCGAACTTTCCAAAGATCTATGCTGATGCCCCAACTGGTGGGAATGTGGTGGGGGAGGGGGGGCATTGTGGCAGGCGAGGTCAGGAGGTCGCTGATTGCAGTGGTTAAAGGTGGGGGGGGGGGCGCATACCGGGTAAGAAAAAAGCCGACGGGATGACGTACTGGGAAATTGAGGCGTAACATCGAGCTGTGTACTGTGTTTAATATCCAGCTTAAATTCAGAAAAATACTGTTGTGTAGTGTATAACGTATATTAAATATACAATGATGTGTTACGTAGTGTAGAATGTATATTACATGCACGAGAATAGATACCGTAGCAGATCATTGTGACATCGGGTTACCCTGGAAAACCTCTGTGAGTCTTCTTTTGTACGAAGGAGGGTCCCACGTCCCGCTAAGTGGGACGTCAACAGTGACGTGTACCCCACAGCAAGAGAGGACTCGCGTGACAGTGCACACGACTGAACCTTTTTTCGCACCGCTTTATATGACACACGTATGTACATCGAACTCCTTTCGCACCGGACGTAGCCAACCGTGCTAGTCGAAGGTGCGATGTCGACGAGACACGAGTGGAGCTCAGGAAAAGTCTCGAGCTCAGAATTATTATAATTTTTTTTCCCCCCAATAAGCGCAACATCCACGGTTAAATTTCGATTTAAAGCTTTCGTCACTGCAGGGATTCATCTTCTAATCCCATATCTGCATTTCCCATAAATATGCTAAATTCCTCTTGATTTGCAAATTCCTTTGTCAATGCGCCCTTCCCCCTCCAACCCAGCTTAAATATACGCTGCCAAGCTTGGTGGTGCTCATTCAGACGCTGTTTTTCCGACAGACCTGTTCTTCACCTGAGGACGGCTGCTTGCGTTGTGGCCGAAACGTCGTGCGAATTGTATTTAATGATGTTTTATTTTTATTATTTTATTATTTACCTTCTACGTGACTTTACCGAAAGAACCAAGAAGAAGCAACACCCACGGTCTCGCTCGCGCCGCGGCGACAACGGCGGCGGCTGACGCGCCGCTTTCCCCCCCTCCGCCACGCAGGATGCTGTCGCAGGGCATGACGCTGGAGAAGGCGGTGGAGATGCTGCGCAGCAAGCGGGACCCGCAGGACCTCGCCTACGCCTCGGCCTTCATCCAGAGCGCCTGCTACCGCAACCAGGCCAACAAGGACAAGGCACGCCGGCGCGCACCAACACACGCCCGGGCGTGTTCAGCTCACAAGCGCGCGCGTGTCCCATTTTGCGCGCGTGCGCGGTCTTCGCAGGCGCGACTGTCGGTCATCTCGGCCGCTTAACGCACGACACCTGGCTCTGTCCCGTGACCTCCTGTGACTTCCTATCAGCGAGCCTCCGACGCTTGACGCGGCCTTCAAGAGCAGCCCGGCCCAGAACGAGCGATGTCACCATTGCTTATCCGCGAATGGCGGCCGTTACCATTATATATTTACGCAATCTAACCCAAAAAACCTCCGATGGGCGATATTGCTCGCGAAAGCCTGCTACGTGTTAAACTCTTACCGTTATCGTTTGCCGTCGTTGGCTGTTGTTTGTTGCCGTTGCGTGTGCGGTGCCGGAAGTGACGTCGCCACTCGTGTCGCCCGCGCGCAGGTCTACACGCTGATGGGCATCCGGGAACTGGTGGAGCTGCTGCAGGAGAACCGGAGCGCGGAGGTGCAGAGCGCGGCATGCGGCGCTCTGCGCAATGTCATCTTCGAGGACAAGCGCAACAAGCTGGAGCTGCGCAACGTGCAAGGCATCCCGGCGCTCGCCGGCATGCTGGGCGCCAGCAAGGACAAGGAGGTGCTGCGGCAGGCCACCGGTGAGCAATCGTCCAGCAGTGGACTGATCACGACGACGACGACGACGACCGAGTGTTTACTTGAGAAACGCCGACACAATTCCTTGGGCACGTCTGGAACACATCGGGATATACTATCGCGTGATACATACCTCACACGGCCGGCACGCGGCTTACTACAACACGTGTAGCACGGACTTTGTTCCGCCACCTGCAAAGAGCCTTGACAAAAAAGTGCCGCCCATCCCTGATCCTTCACGCCCGGGACCGCCCTGACTTCCCCGACCTCCCGACCCCCCGGCGCGTGACCACAGGCGCCCTGTGGAACCTGTCGTCGTGCGAGGAGCTGAAGCAGCAGCTGCTGCACGAGGTGCTGGATCCGCTGGTGGAGCGAGGGGTGGTGCCGCACTCGGGCGTCGGCAACGTGGCCAACACGCTCAACAGTGACCCTGAGATCTTCTACAACGCCACGGGGTGCCTGAGGTGCGTGACGCACCGTGCAGCGGCGCTAAAGCGGGGCCGTTGCGGTGACCTCTGCACCACCATATGTCCATCTGGCACCGCACCCAAGGTCACGCTCCTTCGCGGTGAATCGCCATTTATCCTGCCACCCCTCGCCTTCCGAAAGCAGCTGGAGATGGGCCTGGCGGGACGTACATCCTTGTCCCTGTCGTCGTGTGGATTTTTCTCTGGGTCCCGTGGTTTTTCCCCCCACATTTAGAATCAACGCACGTTTAAAGTATTTGGCTGCTATCAATTTGCACGTGATAATCCACTTCGTTGAGCTATCATTTGTGGCCAGGTCGCTTCTCAAAAAGAGCTACAGAGCTCAGTGGGCCTTACCTGGTAAAATAAAAAAATGTTTTAGTTTAGTCTGTTTACTTACGAGTGCAATACTGTAATTGTCCTATATCTATTTTTTCGTTTCTATAACACCAACAAAGGGTGCATCGTTAAATGCATACTGGCAAACATAACGTACTCATAATTGTTATTTGCCTATTTTGTTTCATCACATGCTTAACAAGAGCATATAATACTGCTTTATATTCGGTTGGTTATTTGCTAGCCAACAACCTTAATGCTATCAGTCACACACCAACCTAGAGCAAATAGCGTATAACCATTAGCATAGATAGCATCAATACATGCTACGTAATAGCATGTATTGATGCTCTATATGCTATTGGTTATAAGCTAACCAATAACATATGACCAATAGCACGTATAGCATCATAAGATGCTATTAGTTAGCTATCGGTGGGCACACGACGAAGCTGCATAAGCTATTGCTCTATTACAACTTTGATTTGAAAGATCTGGCACTTGAAGCTTGAAGCCCCCTGCCGTGGATGACTCAAGACCCGCCATGCTGCCAAGCCAGGGGCACGGGAGGGCTTGTGTGAGCGTGGCTCGCGACGCGCGCTGCCCGTGACGCACATACGTTGTGTGCCATCGTCGTTGCCGCAGGAACCTGAGCTCGGCGGGCGTGGAGGCACGCAAGCAGATGCGCGAGTGCGAGGGGCTGGTCGAGTCGCTGGCGCTCTTCACCGATAATGCCGTCACGTCCGGCAAGCTCGAGGAGCGGGTCAGTTGCCTCTTCTTTCTGCGTCTTCTTCTTCATCGATCAGAAATCCAGATACAAAACCCGCAAGCCAGGGCGTCCCCGGACACGACATTTGCATCAACTGTGCAAGCTTTTGTTGTCCTTCCCCCGCACCTCCAATTAGCACGGCTGGCTACGTACGGTGCAAGAGAACTTCAACGTACGCACAAACAAGTTTGTTAAATCTCCGCCTCCCCCCTCCCGCCCCTGTCCCCCCCAAGCAGGTTAAATGGGTGTACCACAGTTAGTCAGTCGGTAGCGTAGTGACAAAGTGTACCTGTAAATGCTTTCTCAACTAACCCGTGGTCTTTTTGTCTCCGCCCGTCCCGCCTCACGCCCTCCGCCATCGCTCCCGCCGCTGTTCCCGTTCCGCCCGGTGGTGCCTCCGTCCGTCCGGGTGGAGCAGCAGGCTCGCGTGGGCCGCACCCTGGGCACGGTGGAGAACTGCGTCTGCACCCTGCGCAACCTCTCCTACCAGCTGGGCGAGGAGGCCCCGCACCGCTACGCCGACGTCCTGCAGGAGCCGCCCTCGTACCCCACCCGCAGCATGGCCGGGCCCGACGACGACACCACGGGCTGCTTCAGCGGCAAGAGCCGCCGCGTCCCGGGCCCGGTGAGACTCGCGCCCGGGGAGGGGGGTCGTGGGTTCGATCCCCGACCCCCGACATCGCCTGCTGTATATTTGGCCGCTTGCAAATATGCAATGGGTGGATTTTTCCACCTCTGGGCTTAGGCACCACCAAGCTGTTGATGGTTGTAATGGGTCAGCGAGCACCATTTAGATTGATTGGAATTCAGGCTGGCTTGTGGTGTGGGGTCTGAGACTGCTAAATGAACGAGGCACCGAGGCACGAGGTCTGGCTCATGAGGTGGTGCGCTCTTTGGACGAGGTAAAGGCGCAGCCCTGCAATTGCTCGCTCACTCCCCTTCTGTTGGAAGAAGCCTCCTCGCTAGAGGGAGCTGTGGAGAGCCCCTCTAGTGGAGGGTATTTTGGCCTACCCTGCCTACGCTCTCCAGTACGTCTCTGAAGAGGTGGGAGTCACCCACATTTAACCCCACCACACGCAACCTGACCATTGAATAACTGCGGTCAACCCATTTATACCGTTGGTGCACAGCGGCAGAGGGGAGGGGGGGGGGATTTAATCTACCTGCCCATGTAGTTGTTAAGCTGGCGACCCTCTGGATTGCAAGTCCGGTGTGCCGCGTTTGACAAACTCTCCCGATTGACATCTCGCACCTGCAGTCGCCTCGGGGCCGGCTTCGGGGAGGGGCCGTGTAACCGCCGCCCCGCTCCGGTTTCGTTAATTTTACATCAGCAGCGGGGACAAAGGCGCGAATTGTTTTCCCGCTCGCTGCCCTCCGCCCGGCATGGGCCGGGGTTACGCCAAAGTGTTTACCTGAGCTGCAAACACTGCTCAGTAATGGCCTGGGTCATTCACGAAATAGCCTTTGCCCTTGTAGATATCGATGTAAAACTAGGACACCTGAACTTTGGATTGCGTGACCATGGATAGTACTGTCACCTTACTCCAGAGAAAGAATTGCGTTGGTGATTAGCCACGTGACTCAGATCGCCCAGGTGCTTCGGACTTGGAGGCCCTGGGTTCGAATCCGGGTTTCAGCCGCCCGTGATTAAACTGGCTTCCCAACAAAGTTGTCCATGACTGTAAACAAAAAAAAACCTCCATCACTTTCAAATAGTTTTTTATAACTTGATGCACCGCCACACAAGCTCCCCAAACGTTTGGGACGAATGCTTCATCTCCGGATGCTGACAGCACAAAACCCGCTACAAAACAAACAAAAAAAACATAACTCGTCAACGGCTACGCGACCTCCTGGGGTCAAAGTGCATGCGCCGAAAGAATGGTGGGCGGCTGGCGGCAGCCGTGGAGTTTTTCTGAGAGGCAGCCGTGCGCAGACATTTCCTGGCAAGCCCAAACGCGCCGCCCATCCCTCAGCTGCTGCTGCTGCTCATCGCGTTCCGGCAGCTCCCACAGTCTTGCAATTCCAGAGCGGTGGAGGTTCCACCCCCCGGCACGTTGGGGGCGGGGGGGGGGGAGGATGAGAACAACCTCTTGCCGTCCCATGACAAACAAACACCTCCATTTCATGTGCAGTAGTTGATTGGCTGTGCTTCACCACGCCGGTCGGCGCGGTCGGTGAAGGGCGATGGCTCCGAGCCACTTCAGATATCACTCACCACTCAAGCCGGGGTTCGTAGCGCAGTCCGCGAACCGCTGTGCCACCGCTCTACACTCCTGTGGCAAATATGAACCCATCGAAGGTATTCGGATACTTGATGTGTTGTGTAAACATCAGCCCTGCGTGAACAAATGTGGCTCCGACGTGGTGCTAGCCCGAATAGGCGCTCGTTAACTGCACCTGCCCCGAACAGTTTGAATGTTTGTGTGTCGATGGGTAGGTAGTGTCGCAGTGGTTAGTTGGCATGATGCTACGATATTGGAGTCTTAGCAATGAGTTCCTGACCAAGCCCAGTACTGGTGGTAGATGTTATCCGAAACTCACCTGGCCCTCAACCTCAGTCTACTCAAGTATAAACCATGTGGTCAGTTCAGTGGGGAGACTAAAGCAGCTGGACATGAGATACGGTACTCAGAATCAGATTATGCATTCATACTGGGGTAATCCGATGAGCTATAAGCTCGTTTTCACAGATGTCCAGTCGGGGCCACGGGGTCAGAATGTTTACAACAACAAACTGTACGAAAACACGATCCGAGTGAAAAGTATAGTAAAGGTAAATAAATCACTTAAACATATATACAAATAAAACTAAATTAGTCTTTATCTTGTCAGGCGAAGCCCACTGAGCTATTGGCCTTCTTTTTTCAGAAGTGACCAGGCCACAAATGATGGTTCAACGAAGTGGCTTCATATCACGCGAAAATGTAAAGCAGCGAAATCATTATCTGAATCGTGATGTTTTCTCACAACACGGCCACGATTCCAGAGCAGATACGTCGCTTATCGGTTCCGCCTGAGGTGGCATAACTTTATCAGCGGTTACAATTTCTCCACGTGCCAATGAGTGGGGGTGGTTTATCGAGTACAGCGAGTCACTCTCATTGGCCGTGTAAGGAAATCGGTTCGACTCGCATCTTGCTTACCTCTTACCTAAGGGAAACTGCGTGGGCTTGCCTTTGCCAACTATAAATGCGATAACAGTTCTCGTAAAAGGCATCCTCACATCCTCACGCTTCTGGCTGGTTTAGAAACAAGATAAACTCAATGGGAGATACGGAGACACGTTTTGTAATTATCCGACACGTACAGCATCCACGCCCATCTGCTGTTAACAAACACAATGTCAAGGAACTTCATCCGCGACCGCAAAGAGTACAGAATACCTTTGGCCACCGAATGAACAGAACAAAATAGCTTTGTGGCTTACCCTCCTCCCCATCTCTCACCTTGCCCATTCACGCTTCGTGCCATGCGTGTAACGTGGTCTGTCTCTTCTACACGGGTGGCAGGGGCTAGATAACAACTCATGGGGAGGGGGGGGGCGGAAGGAACACTGACAGTCAGTGATGTTCAATAAACTTTCGACATTAGTTAAGTGCTAAACGGAATGAGTTAGGGTGGTGAACTGGCCTTGCCTATCACGGATTCTGCCCCGGCCCTCACCCACGGTGTATAAGTTGAGGCTACGATGCCCGTCCCTGACTTCAATGAGTCCAGCACTCATATTTTATCCCCGCTCCTGTTGTTGGATATTGTACCAACAGTTTTTTAGAAAGGGGGAGGGGACCCTCAGAGTGGGTGAGAATGAGCCTAAACCACTTAAACTAAACACTTAACTTTGTTTATTTTACTAGGTAAGGCCCACTGAGCTGTAATGCTTTATTCAGAAAGGACCCCTGGCTATCACAAATGATAGCTCAACAAAGTGGCTTATTGTACGGAAACTTATAGCAGCCAAATCCTCTAAACGCGTGATGTTTATTCTAAAAGTGGAGAGAAAAACCAGAGGACCCAGAGAAAAATCCATGACCACGGGGAGAGAGACACCGCAAACTCCAAATATACAACAAGCGTAAGGGTCGGGATCGAACCCACGACCTCCTGCGTACCAGGCTAGGTAGTTGGCATCTCGCCACCACGGCGCCCTTCCAACGACCGCCAACCCCTCAAATCCCCTCCGCGACCAAATCCACTCACGGCAGTGCCGTCCTGTGACAGCCCTGTCCGCCAATGCGGGCGGTGAGATGAAATACTGAAAGAAACAGAACATTCAGAGCGCAAACACTGAGACACACCTGCTGCTGGGGGCTGTGCCCAGGACCGGTCCGTGTGCGCCGACCGGTTTAGCTCTGTGAGCGGAGGTCGTCAAGTAATTAATTTTCCACGGCAGGTTGCCTCGGGCCGGCCCTCATCTTTGAGCGAGCGTGTTCGTGTGTCGGTGTGGCCGTGTTTGCTTGTGTGTGTGTGTGTGCGCGGGAATTTAAAATGGTGGTGGGGACAAAGAAATCTGGCTGCTCAGTAGGAGAAAAGAGCATTGTGATTATGTTTTTAAATGAGTCGTCGTGTTCGTCTCTTTACGCACAGTTTTAATTCAACCATGCCCATCGACGGGGTAGCGTCCTCTGTTCAGGATTCTCGCATTTCAGTGCCATTTATGGTTGCCGCATTTTCGAGAGTGGCCCGTGGAAGCAGATATTGCGGAGCTACTTTTGAGACACGCCTTTAAGCGATCTTGTGCTTAGTTTGTTGTCCTTCCCCTCTGTTTCGCGCGGTTGGCTACGTACGGTGCAAAAGAAGTTCAACACGCATACACATCCAGCAGAATATTGAACATGGTGGTCATGATGATTCAATCGCAGAGTAATAACTTATTTTGTTTGTGATCCTTGCGACGCGTGGCAGGGCGGCTACCGCTACGACCAGTACACGCTGCCCATGCCCAACCCCAAGGGGATGGAGTGGCTTTGGTGCCCGCAGCTCGTCAAGGCCTACATGAGCGTCCTGGACAAGGCCAAGCAGCCCACGCTCATGGAGGGCGCGGCCGGGGCGCTGCAGAACATCACCGCCGGGGGATCTAAGGTGCGGCGGCCGGGTGATGTTGAGCAACGGCCACCCCCTGACCACGTTTTCCACTGCGCAACCGAGCCGCGCCAAGTGCCGTGCCGAACCCAGCTGGGCGCGGCTCGGGAAGAGTCGGGTTGTTTTGGGGCGACGATGTTAACTGCCTCGCCCGGTATGCAGGAGGTCGTGTACATTTTCCCCGTGGTCGCGTGGATTTTTCTCCGGGTCCTATAAATTTCCACATGATAAGCTACTTTGTTGAGCTATAATTTGTGGCCAGGTCGCTTCTGAAAAAGAGCTACGTAGCTCGGTGGGGACCTTACCTGCTAAATTAAAATAGTCGGCTAAATGGTTTTTCGACCTCCTAGAGTCCGACCCATTGCGCTGGCTACACGCAACATAATTAATTTTGTAAAATTTCTACCCTGATGCCACCGGCACACAACGGCCTAGAGGGGGGGGGGGTCTTTAACGTCCACTTCGAAGCATCACAGCGCGTAGCGTTATCACGGCGATTACACCGCCGCAGTAATAACCAGGGTGGCCTCCAGATCCGAACCGCGTCTCACTCGCCTCGCCGGCTGGCTCCCCCGGGGTGCAGGCGGCGCGCTCGCTGGGCAACGTGGCGCTGATGCACGGCGACGGCTCTGCCACGCTGGCCGACGCGATGCACCGCTCCACCGACGCCAAGACAACCAAGGCGCTCGCCTTCCTGCTGCGGAACCTGTCGCGCAACCCGCAGAACCACGCTGAGATGAGTACGTGACCTCTATTGTTGTTACTTAGATCATTAGGCTGCCATACATTTCCACGTGATAAGCCACTCCGTTAAGCTGTCGTTTGTGATAGCCCGGTCGCTTTTAAAGAGAAGCTAATAGCTCAGTGGGGCTTGCCTGCTAAAATAAAATAGTTTAGTTTTATTTCTATATATTTTTTATCATTTGCTTACTGCACTATCATGTTTTTGTACTGTTTGTTGTTGTAACGTTCTGATCTGCCCCAACTGGACATCTGTGAAAAAGAGCTTTATAGCTCATCGGATTCCTCCAGTCTAAATAAAGATTCTGATTCTGATTATTAAGCTCGTCTGCCCAGGACGGACGACCTCACGCGTGCGCACTTACGCGCGTCAAAACTACACACTCGTGATAGCATCAACATCGCAGCTGCCATCATCATCATCATCGCCATAAGTATCTGCGTCTCTAAATCAATGGGTCTCTATGTACGTCTATGGGTGTCAATGTAATCGCATACAAGTCTTTGGTCCCCTGTTTAAGTGTATGGGTCTCTATGAATGTCTGCGTAAGAGACGGATGATCCCAAACGTGCTCACAGCTGGTTATATAGCTCGTCCATCGGTTTCCATAATCATCATCAACGCCCATATGTCATCATCATCATCGTCGTCGTCGTCGTCATCATCACCGCCGTCGTCACCGGTGGGATCCCCAACTCCCTCTAGCAGCCCCCATCCCCGCAACCCGGCAGCGCATCTTCGCCTCGCTCCTCATCTCTCTCCGCCCCCCCATCTCTCTGCGCAGACGCAAAGCTGGCCCCCACGCTCGTGGGCATGCTGCCCGGGCGCGTCACGTCGGCCCAGCTGGACGACGAGGCGGTCAGCTCGGCGTGCTACTCCATCTTCGACCTCGTGCAGGCGAACCCGGCGGCGGCGAAGCGCTTCCAGAGCCTGGGCACCGTGCGCAGCCTCGTGTCGCTCGTGCGAGACCGAGCCGGGTGAGCGGCGGCGCCGGGGGACTCACCAGGGTCTCGCGGGGCCAGGGATGGGGTAGGGGATGGGGTGGGTAGGGGGCAGGGATGGGCCAGGGATGGGGTAGGGGAGGGGGTGGGTAGGGGGCAGGGATGGGCCAGGGATGGGGTAGGGGATGGGGTGGGGAGGGGGCAGGGATGGGACAGGGATGGGGTAGGGGATGGGGTGGGTAGGGGGCAGAGATGGGCCAGGGATGGGCCAGGGATGGGGTAGGGGATGGGGTGGGGAGGGGGCAGGGATGGGACAGGGATGGGGTAGGGGATGGGGTGGGTAGGGGGCAGAGATGGGCCAGGGATGGGCCAGGGATGGGGTAGGGGATGGGGTGGGTAGGTGACAGGGATGGGACAGGGATGAGGTAGGGGATGGGGTGGGGGATAGGGCAGGGATGGGACAGGGATAGGATGGTGCAGGATAGGATGGTACAATGGAGATAACCAGTTGATTTGAGACTTGTAACGATTTGTGTACGAGTTCATACGCTCCAATGGCGTCCATAAGGAGCCTGCAATGTATGTAAAGTGTATGGTGATTATATGCTCTTTGTTTTGCTCACATTTACCGTGAGCTCAACTTTGACAGCCTCCCTCTTTGCGGCGTACTTTGATCACAGCCTCTAAGTTCAATCGGGAAAACACAGGCCTCCATCCAGCATGGATGGAGGCCTGTGTTATGCGCACGGGATCAATGAGGTGGAATTGACAAGGGGGACACGCGAGAGAAACGGCTACAAGCCGAGGCATCGAACCGTGACCCCAGACTCTGAGACGATGGTGTGGTCGGGGCCCGAATTGTCAGATGCCGACAGGATGACGCGCACGGGGGGACTACAACGTGAACCTGCGCGTCACCGGACAAGCCGCGGCAGCGCATTAATTAAACACTATCTCATTTCTAGCCATAAATTAAACACGCGTGCGACTTGGGGACAGTGTCGGCTGCATTGTCCATATGCAAAAGAAGCGTTCCGCCTTCGCTCCGTAGAAACACACACGCGTGTGTATGTTGAACTTCTTTCGCACTGTACGTAGCCAACCGTGCTTAAACACATACCCGACATATGTAATAGGTTACTATCATATGTAGAAACACACGAGTGTGTGTATGTTGAACTTCTTTTGCGCCGTTTGTAGCCAACCGTGCTTAAAAAAACACACGACATTCGTCATAGGCTACTATCATACATATTAGGTTACCACACCTCCGATAGACAGTGGCTGAATGGGGGAGGTGTGGGCGGGTGAAAATATACAAGCGAGTACAGTGTAAATACAACCCCACCACAAAACCGTGTTTGATAATTAAAGTAAAAAGAGTTGAAATTATCGGATCGTTTGCTTTGCTAAGCTGTTTGCTTCATGAGTCACTCCGTGAGTCAAAATGTAATAAATAATTCTCCCCCAAACTGTCGTCAGCAGTACGAGGGTTTCAGGCCGTGGTATGTTTCACCAACGGAGACACTGCGTCGCCTATGCTTGTGAATTTGCAATTAACGCTTGATTTACGATGAGGACTCCGGTCCCGGATCGTGCAATTCACCGAACAACAGAGAGGGCGACTCTTTACATAACCGCTACGCAACGCGACTTACGACTGAAGTTTCGTTCGTAACGAATCATGGATACGAGAGTTGTCCCTAATAGACTTTTTTGGGGTTAGATCTCGTAAATATAAATGTGTCGTTGAACCCGCCACCACCCGACGCAGCCAATTAGTAAGGTTTGTCGCGTAAACAAAACGTGCCAATTGCATACCTGTCAACCCATACGTGACACATTTTTTACTGTTTGGCCGTGTCGGGTGGTGGAGGGTAACGACACATTTATAAATAATGCGATCTGACCCAAAAACCTATATTATGAATAATATTGGTCGCGAAAACCTACGTGTTAAATCAACCCATACGGTATACCCGTATTATTGTACAGGGAAATTACATTTTCAGGACCATACGGCGTATAGCCGTTTCAATAAGGGCAACACATTTTTGTTGTCTATTTGTTTGTGTTTGTCCCTTGTGATGGTACTTTGTAGAATTTATAAGGGCACGGGGTGACAAATAAGGTCTGAATTGGTCTGTAAGAATGTAGGCACTGATAAGAGGTTGACAGGTGTGCGATTAGTTACTATACGAGCACACCGATGTGTTGGAGAGTAGACTCGCAACGTTTACAATTCGAGCACGACGTTTCGCCGGTAATTACAACAACCAGCATCATCAGGCGACAGGAAGAATTGTCTCGTTTAGGGCAGAGGGATAGACGGACCCACCGAACCGATGACGTGGAGACACAACCCTGTTGACGTTGTAAACAAAATCTCTTGGGTTTGCAGGGCTTATCCAAAGTCAGCAGAGGCGTCTTCTCTGCTCCTCCACCAGTTCTGGGAGTTCAAGGACCTCAGGAAGGACTACAAGCGGGTGAGTGTCCACCGATTATTCATCGGCATTTCCGTCACTTTTACACGGGCTCGGAATAATCGTGCGCACGCCAGGGTCCTGTGACACGTTCCGACACGCGCCAGTCTTCGGATTGATTTAATTGGCATCACGGAAGCTGATGGGTAGCTCTCAAGGAAAACATATATTTGCATAATGGTAAAACTTCCTCCTTGCTCCAGTTCGTCTCTGGTTTTCAGGAGGATAAGTTCCTAACAGCAACACACCATCATAGTAAGGTTTAGTTCGTATTGGCTTATCTTTACAAGCGTTATACTGCCCCCTCCATTAAAAATAGACAGACGGGCAAACGGACGGAGCTAGCAAACAAACGCTTCCAACCTAAGCTAGGAATCAATGAAAATGTCGTTTACAAAGTCTACCACAGTCCAGGGAGGTTGTTGATTTAAAACTTTGAAATCGGGTCAACTGCGGTTTGTCGAAATAAACTTTGGTAAATGTGCACTGATGATTACGCCCATTGGCAACATCCGTCGAACCGTTAACCCCGTTAATGAACAACTGGCGCTGCTCACTGTCGACTCGAGCACGGCGACGCACGGGGTCGGCGCGGCGACGCACGGGGTCGGTGCGACGCACGGCACGGAGTTGCGAGCGCGTGCGCCAGGGCGTTCAGGAAACTGACGCTTTTATTTTTCCACAGCGAGTCGGGTTCACCTGCACACTCCATCATGAATGTGTGAACGTTGCGAGCGTCACTCCTCCTTGCCTCCCTCCCCCTTCCTCCTCCTCATCCTTCTGCCCGTCCTCGTAAATTAACAATGAGGCCATTGTCCCGGGTCGTAAACACGTAGCCCCCGGATCCGCGTGCACGAAAAACAATGCTGGCATTTCCACATTCACCCATCTCCGTTTTGGTCTCGCTCGCTCCGCGTCGCCTCGAGGCAGCGGACCGCCCGGCGGCTGTCCGCGCGCCGCGAGGAGGAACGCCATGCGGCCCTTCATTAGCCTACCGCTGGATGAGGGCCTCGCTTCTCCGGCCGTGCAGGCCAGTGAGGGTTACTTTGGTAACGCTTCACCGGGCTGGCCAGCGAGAAGGACTTGCCTTCTGCGGCCCTCAACTTAGGCCTGCGGCCTACACGGCACCTGCTATGTGGGGCGGCGGCCCAAGCAACCTACTTAGCTTTCTGATACCTGACGAGATGGGGCGCATCCAGGCCATGTGGCCGTAGGCGCCGACGTCCGCCGCCGCCGCTCATTTCATTGGCCTCGGCATTTTTCTGTAAAATGCAAAACGTCCCAATGGGGGCTGCACGTCGGTGAAGCCTTTCTGCGGTTGGCCAGGATCCACAACAGGGTTTCTGTGAATTCCCATTGAAATGTTAGTTTTGTTTATCACGGTTTAAAATCATCGCTAGTGCCCTCCTCTCTGCCCAGAATTTCCCTTACACGCATTCAAGACAAATACGGAAACATTCTTTCTTTGCGCCCCCACACTTATTTGTTTTTTTGAGGGCGTAGCACCGCAAGAAGAATGCCGATTTGCTGAGCTCCCTTTCTCCCCTCGATTTTCTTTCCGCCCTCATCGCCGGCCGATAAGATCGATGTTTGGCAGCAGCATTTCATTCATCCATCATCATTTCTTGGGGTGTTTTATAGCCCGCGGTATCAACACAGCGGTGTTGACAAACGAAGCTGTGCGTACCTGCCCTGGCAATGCCACAATCGTCGTGGTTAATGGCGAATCTGGCCAGCGGATGGGGATGGTAGAACCAGGACGCGATGGTCTCACCGACGATATTTCGGCTCGCCGGTAGACTGGAGCAGGCACGTGACTTGTACCACCGGCGCACGTTTTCTTTTGCGGTTTGCGCTGCGTGCATCTCAGAACGACGCGAGGTGGTACCGCAAAACGCATCGGAGAGCTGTGCACGACCATTAGCTGTTGCCATAGTGAGAAGTACACTGGAGGTGGTGCGCCGGGGGTACGGAAAGTAGTTTCAAGATAATGATCGCGTTCTTCAGTTGTGGAAGTGCGTCCGTCAATGGCAGGAATAGCACTTGGGCAGTCTTCCCCCCTTGGATCCTATCGTCGGCCGGAAACTCACTGATTCCATGACTGGCGGCTTTAGTGTGAGGCTATGGGTGCAACCTTTGCTCGAGAAACAATGTTTCCACCGGCACATCTGAGCCTAGCCAAATCTGGCTTGGGACACCCAAGCAGGGAGAGGGGTGGAAGAGGTATGCGTGTGCGACTTACGGCGGTATGCGTGTGCGACTTACGGCGGTATGCGTGTGCGACTTACGGCGGTATGCGTGTGTGACTTAAGCGACATGGCTCGGGTTCTAACAGTGGGGGGAAACAACTCGGTGGCTGCTTAGCATTGTGCAGTGGAAAAGAGACGGACGGACGGACGTCTGTACGAATGCTTCCTGCACCTCCGATCAGCATCCCGCACCTCCCATTAGCGCGGTTGGCTACGTACCTAAGTCGGGAGAAAAACAGGTGTGGCCGCACCTGTGAATTCATGGCAGGATTCGGCTACCGGTGGCAATGACCGTCAGCGGCCATTCCCCCCATCAGTTTGCGTGTCTCGCACAGAGGCACGCTTATCTGTCAATCGCTTCTCTATAGTTACATGCGCACGCAGGTATGCTTTGTCACTGTGCTGAGGTTAGGAATGTGACGAGGCACAGCTCCATCGATTGATATCGGCTCTTGATCTTGTGATGCCTGCGTGGTTCCGCGTGTCTGAGAAGCGAACTTGATGCGTTTGTTGTTTGTTGTACGGGGGCAATTGCGCTCGGAATCTGGTGAGTGATACCAGAACTGGCGCCGCAGTGGTGAGATGATAACTCCATCACGTGGTATACAGGAGGTCGTGCGTTCGATCCCGACCCTGACGTCTGCTGGTTATTTGGAGTTTGCGTGTCTCTTTCCCTGTGGTCGCGTGGATTTTTTTCCAGGTCCTCTGGCTTGTCCCTTGACATTTAGAAACATGCGTTTGGAGTATTTGGCTGCTATGAAAATGTCCACTTGATAAGCCACTTTGTTGAGCTATCAATTGTCATAGCCGGGTAGCTTTAGATAAAGAGCTACAGAGCTTAGTGGGCCTTACCTGGTAAATTGTTTAGTTCAGTTTGGGGCAGTGCACATTCTCTAACCTGCGTTGATTAGTGTGGCGAAGTATGGCCAGATAAATGCGTGACCATAGTACAAGACAAAAGTTAATTTTGGCGTACTGCTCTCAGCTGATATATACAACAACAAAGAAATGAAATGCGAGTCTGTACGCATTTAAAAAATAATTGTAAGTTTACAGTAGAGATGTGGCTTGCACCTGCTGACCTTTGATTTTTCATCCATTTTATTCACATTAATTTTAAGAATCCTCATGTAATATAAACTGGCCAGAGGAGTTATTATACGTTGCCACAGATGTCAAATGTACACATATAAATCAAACTGTAATGTCCTATCCACGTGTCTTTTAGCATCGTTTAAGACTTTAGCGACATTTCCGGCCACTCTATAGGAACTAAACTTTTATTTACCGGGTAAAGCCCATTGAGCTAGTAGCTTTTTTTCAGAAGCGACCTGGCTCCAAATCAAAGCTCAACTAAGTGGCTTATCACGTGGAAGTTATATCAGTGATAATGAAACTAAAAGCATGTCTCTAATTGTGGTGGGAAAAACCAGAGGACCCGGAGAAAAATCCATTTGACCACGGGGAGAACACGCAAACTCCAAATATACAGCAGGTGTCAGGGTTTGGATCGAACCCACGACCTCCTGCATACCAGGCGAGGGAGATAACATCTCCCCACCGTGGGTGCCCCACTCCCAAACTCCCCCAACCGCTGACATCGCCCTCGTGCTCTCGCGCCCACCGCAGGACGGCTTGAAGAAGGACGACTTCATCAACAACTTCACGGTGAGGTCCGTGCAGAACCTGTACGGCCGGGACAGCAACTCGGACCGCTACCAGGACGGTACACTGAGGTACTAGGCGGCGACGAAGAGGGCAGCAGCAGCAGCGGCGACGCGACACGGGCGGTGCCGCCGTGCCGATCGGCACCTGAGCTCGAGACGCTTCGGTGCACCCCCCGCAGATTCAAGAGTCCATAGATGATCCCCCCCCCCTCCGCTGCACAGTCGCGGCTCTTGCATAACGCATACAAGCGTGGAACGCTCCATTCTCACTTGGCGGGTGTTTAGGAGAGGGTTGACTCGGCTTTGAGAGGCGCCAGCACCACGTGGGGTTTTCGCGGCTCTCTCCGGTCCGTTTCCGGGTCGTGCCGCGTGTTTTTACGTGGCGGCGACGTCCGACGTTTCCCCGATGAAGCTCCCGGCACGTGGAGCGAGACGTCGGACATCGTGCCAAAACAGCTCTGCGGCACGACCCCCAAAACACATCGGAGAGTTAAGAAAAAACATTGTGAGGCAGTGGAAGAGTTATGGATGATTGTTGTTAAGGAGGGGAGAGTTTATTTGCAGGCTTTGGCAGAGGGTTAGAGGTTTGATTAGTTTTCTGCTGAAAGCCACGCATTGTATATTTTTTTAATGGCTGTTACTTATGGATGGACATCGTAGCTGTAGATGCAAACAGTATTTCTTTTACAATTTGTACAACAGATAGCATTACGAAAATTTATAAAGCACCTTCCTTGCTGACAAAAGTCGGCAAACGATTATTTTTCAAAAAAATATTTTTGATTACAACAAAAAAAAACCCTGAAAGGCAAAAAAATGCAACGTCAAAAGGTGCCAGGGTAGGCAAGGCTTCTAGCGATTGTTGTTGTGAGGGAGTGGGAATTCATGCACCTGTGTGTGGAAGTGAAAGAGCAAAGAAAATAATCTGTAATTGACGTGGGCCAAGTGGTGAGTCAAAGTTCACGAAACAACGCCGTGCACGGAAATCTTTGGTGGCGGTGGCGGCGGCGGCGATGGATGTCACTGTCTCTAAATGTACATCGATCTCAGACGCTCGCTTACCTGCTGCTGTTCGCATTCTGTGATAGATTCGTTTTTGCGAAAACATTTTTTTTGACATTTTCACGGGGATTAAAGCAAAAACAAAACAATGCTGGACCAGATAAGTTTGGCGAATAGATCAAGAGCCCCCTGGCTTGATTCTTGACCAGGATCGTTACTCTTAAATGCGACAATTCATCTAATCGCCAGGGGAACTATCGCTCGTAATAATCGTCGAACCTCTCCTCTGCTATTTTTCAAGAACTTCCCACGCAACGGTTCGATTTTGCCCACTGTTTCGAAAAGCAACAGGGCTTCATTGCAGCCGAGCCTCTCCAGATCGGTCGGTGACCCGGAAAATCTTTCCCCGCACCCGGCAACACCACATCCAGTCACACCTCTCGCCGTGGCGACGGCTCCTAGCTCACGTGCCCAGCTTCTCCACTCGACCAGCCACCATGGGGAAAATATTCGGCGAGGAATTAAGCCGCCCGGACAGGGGACCATCGCAGAGACACAGGGCCTCCGTCATTGTGCGCCGTGAGTGGACTCGCACGTGCCGTTACCTCCGCATGCGGCCCATCGTTCCGCCGTCACTGACACTCCTGAGCGGGGATGGCTGTGGTAGACAGGTACCTTTAACATATCGGTAGAGTGGGGGAGGGGTGAGCGTATCATGTAATTCACAATAAAGAGCTTAAATGGTGAGATATAAATAATGCGGGCAGTGTAGTAAGCAGAAAACTAAAGCTACTGCGTAGGATTTTGCGCGGTTGTGCTGCGTAGCAACGACGATTCGTATTTCCGGGTTGTGCCGACGTTGGTTTTATCCGGCGCCACGTCCGACGTTTCCTGAAGAAGCTCTCAACACGCGGAGCGAAACGTCGGACATCGTGCCGAACGACAGCACCACGGCACAATCCGAAGACTGCTTCGGCGGGAAGAGTGGAGCGCATCGCGTTGTGCGGTGGTAGCGGAGTGTGTGTCTGTAACGAGTAGGAACACAGGTGTCGTCTCATTGATAGGATGGGTTGAATTTAAAAATATATATTATGACTATAAGTACTAAATGCTGGTGTTTTGCTTCGGTAAATAATATTTGAGTTTTATAAAAAAAAAAATTAGTCAAATACGTCGCGTATGTTATCACAGTCCAGTATCTGTCTCGTAAAGTAAGTTAGCTCTTTCATTGATAAAAAAAATTTTGCTTCTCATTTTTGTCTCGTTTTACCCCCGGGGGTTTTATTTTTTTTGCGCGTAGATTATATCATTATTTTAGACGCCTTTCCGGGTTCGCAAACGCAATGTAGAATTAATTAGGCGTTCGCTAACGAGTGCACATGGGGGGCCGAACGGTCGGGTCGTCATTGGCGGATGTGATCGCGATGCCAACTACGGCGCATACAGCACCATCGTGCCTTGAATGCCTGCTCGAGTCTATAATATTGGTCGATCGACTGATGAATTAATATTGACGAGTTGTGTTTTATTCACCTATTTTTGACATTTTTCCTGATGTTGTGTTTCAATCGAATTCGCTCGTGGGTAAGGCAAGGCGGAGGTTCATTGTTTCTTTTTAAAGATGAACTGAACTCACAGGAATAAAAACACACTACACACAAGTCCAATCTTTATCAACCGCATTCAAATTAAAAGCCTTAACTTACAACAGAGGAGCCTTGCTCAGTATTTAAAGGGCAGCTCAAGCGAATGGCGATGGAAGGGACAGGATGCAAATGATGGTTGGGAGTGACGGTCCCATAATGCTCTGCTAGAGGTATCCTTTTATTACCTATACCCCAATGGGAATGGAACCCATTAACTGGACATTATTTATAGTTAAATGTGTGGTTATCTCGGAATGTAGCTTCCCGAGTTGCTTAAAAAAAGAGTAAATTGTAGGAAGATGTCGCAAAATATACTTTAAGTCAATTAAACATCAAATGTATAGCATGTTACCGATATTTTAAGGTGTATGCGTAATAATTGTTATGACTTGTTAAAGCTTAGATCTAGGTTTTCAGCCTTAATTTAAATGGCTGAGTCAGAAAAAAAACTGTTAAATTTTCGTGTTCTGTCAAGGAGGGCGTGCAGCCAATCACGTGCAAGCAATGACAGTCGCTCGCTTGGTGGATACATATTTTTAAATCGAATGCACACAAAAAATGATGGTCGGCATCGCCAGTGGCCACGATGCACAGGAATCGCGATCACGGGAAAGACCCCTGCCTGAAATTTTACCGAATTAGCAAAAGTTTAATTTGTACAAGCCTCGTTATGGGGATCGATGTTCCAACACTGATCCGATTGGCTTAAAACACACTCGCGTGTGCACGTGATTGTCTGTTCGTTATCAAGTTTACCTTTCTGCTCTGAGAATGTGAGTGTGTGTGACAATGAGGACATTTTACAATGTCTGGCCATAGTGCCTGGGTTCCTGGCATGAAAAAAAAACGTTTTATGATTATAATTTTTGTTGTTGTTGCTACGGGCTTGGTTTCCTACGCATCTTGTTAAGTGCCCGCTTCTCTCCCTTTCATTAGCCAGGCAAGAGGCCCTTTGAGATTCGGCGATGTCTCGTTTGTAACCTGGGGCTGACGTTCTGAGTACTTAAAAACGCGCCGCCGTGACCGCCCGCGACGCCGCGTCGCTCTGTATGCTTACGCACGCACACAAACAAAAAAAAGCAAAATAAAGTCGTTCAAAAAAGATTTTAAGGTTCGCGTCTTCTGTGTGAACGGTCTCTGCCGACGGCGAGCGTGGAGCGGTGTGGCGGCATTGAGGGAGTGACGAATGTAACCTCGTGAAAGTGTTTATACCCGCTGTGGTTTTTTGTTTGTCGTCACGCAAGGTCGTAGGCGCACGTTGCACACATCACAATTTAAGTTATTTTGTGAAGTTTAGTCAATGTTTGGTCACTCCAAGGCTGTCTGCCTGCTCTGTTAACTCTGCACACGCATACCTAACCACATACCTACCCTCTCTTGAGTTCTACCTCTGGTTAAACAAAATAAATGTAACTAACTACCTACCTACTTAAACGTATATCCACTCATCCAACTACCCCCGCACTCACATCCCTACCTACATAGTACTTACCTAACCACTTAACCATCCGCCTACCTATCCACTCACCCACATATCCACACACGTACCTTCACACTCACCTACCTATACATCTAATTACGCATCTAAACACCTACCTACCTTCCTGACCGACCAACCTACACAGTCATTCACCTACCTACCTACCCATACACCTACTCACCTACCTACCCATCAATCCTCCGCTCCAGCTCAATCTCCCAACCATTACAATACGGAGCTCGGGTAAGAGGTATGCAAAAACAACACCGAGGTTACGTGGTACACCATCTGAGAGATATAAACTGCCAAACAATATGTTCACTCCCCCAGGAATTCCTCCGTGCCAGGTTTTCCTTCTGCCCGACTAATCGTGGATGCTGTCACCGGCTGGGTGGGAGTGACTGCCGCAGTCGGAGTCGAGACGTCCGTATACGGGCAAGGGGCCGGAAACCAAAAATCACACTAAGATAAAAAAAATAGTTTAGAACTTGGTACTAAGAGCAACTCTATTTCAAGAGCCACAATGCACTCTGTGGTGAATACAAGACGGTGGGGCGTCCTTAATAGAGAGTGTTACGAAGCAGTCCCTTGAAGAGCCGCATGCAGCTTCGGAGCTGCTGGTTGCTGACCCCCCGTATATTTGATTTATTTCTTTATTTATCTTATTTGTTATTGTTGATTATTGATTTGCTTTTACTGTGACTTGTTGCTTATGTCGGAGAAGCAGTATTGTTTTTTGTCGATGAAACCCGATTGAAGAGCTTCTTGGCTCACGGGGTAATTCGAAATAAACGAACTTACTCATGGGGATGGGAGGGACACTTCACGGGGACCTCTCCAGCGGCCTGTGAGATAAGCAAGAAGATGAAGATGTGCCGAGAGAGGATGGTGACCTGAGCAGTCTGATGATGAGAATGAAGCAGGCGTATGCAGGGCATATCCTTAAGAGGGTCAGAGCTGGAGATTCGGTGAAGATGATTCTGCAAGGGGAATTTGAAGACGGGAAGAGGAAGGACATGTATTAGATGGTGAGACATTGTGAGAGACAGATGGTGGGACAGTGTGAGAGACAGTCGGACAGCCATCTCCGTGGGAAATGCCGAAGATCACAAACATTGGCAAGCATCTGCCATGGGAATCAACCCTGAGCTGGGAGGATGACACCAAATAGACATTCCATAGATACAGAAATCACAATGCTCACACAGTAAACCCCGTGTCCGCCTCGACCTCAAAGTACTTGCTTCACGTGTCATTCCAATGCTGGACGAGGGCCTCCCGAACAAACAATGCAACTACGTGCCAACTTTGTCCAATATTGGTCCAAAGCTGGCCCAATGTTCCATGTTTTCTGGCTCTGCATGCCGTACGGGTCGCGATATACACCCGGCGCTCATCTCGCCGCATTGCCATCGCTGAGCTACTTTGAATTCCACATTCCCACGGCAGGGTGCATTATATCCGCAGGAGACTCCACACAAATAACTGGTGCTGCACTCATTTCACCTACCCCAGAGGGATAATGGGCTGAGACGACTCCCACCCTCCCCACCCTCCCCACCCTCCCCACCCTCCCCACCCTCCCCACCCTCCCCACCCTCCCCACCCTCCCCACCCTCCCCACCCTCCCCACCTTCCCCACCCTCCCCACCCTCCCCACCCTCCCCACCCTCCCCACCCTCCCCACCCTCCCCACCCTCCCCACCTTCCCCACCCTCCCCACTCCAACCGGGATTTGAACTTGCAACCTTCCAATTGCAAGTCGAGCCCTGCAACTGCCGGGCCACCCACGCTGCTACTTTGACCAGCGTTCTGCAGTGACTCAATAACAACCTTTAGACGCAAGGTGGTAAAAGTACAGGAGCAGCCCTTCTATTGCTTGCTCGCACAAAGCAATTCAACTGAACTCTCTCTTTTTTTTACCAGGTAAGGCCCACTGAGCTGCACAGCTCTTTTTCACAAGCGACCTGGCATCACACATGAAAGCTCAGCGAAGTGGAAATATATGGCAGCCAAATGCTCTTACAAATATGTTTCTAAATGTGGAGGGGGAAAAAACCAGAGGACCCGGAGATAGAATCCACGTGACCACAGGGAGAGAGACACACAAACTCCAAATATACAGCAGCAGGCGTCGGGGTCTGGATCGGACCCACGACCTCCCGTATACCAGGCGAGGTAGTTAACAGTTGTAAAGGTGTAACTCTGAATAGATTTCTCGTGCCACTGCTGGCGAGAGGGCATTTCGAGGCGAGAGCCCCTCTAAGAGGTGTGCTTGACCGACTCATCCGCGCTGCTGCTAACAGCAATGGTGCAGCGAATCTTGGCTAGCCGCACAACAGCGGTGCAATAACATACAATAAAGTGAGATAAGGGGGAGGGGGTGACGGAACGCCCTGCACAATTCTCTTAAGTCGCCTCTAACACCGACGGGTTGACGTTTACAAAGACCCCACTGTCTATTATCAGGTCGAGGCTCAGCGGACCGCAGCCCGGACCAAAGGTAACCGCTCAGGTGCGTTTCATGGCCCCGTAAAGTTCACGGAAGATGCAAAATCACCGTCGTAAAACGACACTCGGCATGCTTTCGCCCCGCTATCGCGTGTCCGTGACCATGCGTCCCGGATGTAACATCTGCGCAAGGTTTGAACACAAATCCCTCTCCCGTGTGCTATTGTCCCGTTGCTTTGCTATCTGTCACGTAGCTACTGAGTGTGCAGGATGTGCAACTGCACCGGAATGGGAGGGAGGGGAGGATTGTGAATGGAGGGAATTGAGACAAGGGGGGGTGGGGGGCTGAGTGTATTCCGTTGTACCAAGGCCCATGCCAGCGACGCTACTGCGTAGAACTCCCCAACCAGCACTATCCACGCTCAAGGCTGCTGAGCTTCCGCGATGTGGCGAGGCTGGGTACGCTGCAGGTCATCGTCTCGGCGACCTGCTCACACGATACGAAGCGATGCCTCCGCTCCTCTCACGACGCTTGCTTTGGCTTCATGGAACATGCTCCTGCGGCTCACTCGTGTTTGCTTTCTGGCCACACATCTGAAACTATACATTCGAAATTGTACAATAACAATAATAGTAAAAAGCCCTTCATGTTGTTATTCTTAGCATTCTGTGATTTATTTTAAAAATATTTCTAGCCTCCAAGCCATGGGCAGAAGTGGGACATCTCAGTGTCAAAACAGAGCCCCTCCCTCCGTCCTCCCCGCCCCTCCCCCTGTGCCCCCCCCTCCCCCCGTGAGCGGCGTGAAAACCCAACCGCCGCGTTTCCCAAAACAAAGCGGACCCTGCGAGAGAGTTGGCCACGGTGGCTTTGTGGCCCTCGGGGGGGAGGGGGGGCAACGCATGCGGGACCTGAGCGAGCATCGTCGCACTTAGCCGATGATGACAACGATGATGATGACGACGACGATGATGACGACGACGACGATGACGATGCTGACGACGATGATGATAACAATGATTATGATGACAACGATGATAACGACGATGATGACAACGACAACGATGATGATGACGATGATGACGACGATGATGACAACGACAAGGATGATGATGACGATGATGACAACGACAACGATGATGATGACGACGATGATGATGATGACAACGACGATGATGATGACGATGATGACGACGCACCACAGAGGCGACGCTTAAAGAAAGACGAAACGAATGTCGGACGCTGGACGGGATTGATCACGCCACGCGTCACAGACTGCGCGCTGTTTTCGCAGCCGATGTTCACGATTCGTAGCCCCCCGGATGGCGAGGGGCTTGCTCATGGCAGACGAGACGTGTGGTCAGACGGCCCGTGGCCTGACCCCAGCATGTACGAAGGCTGAAGCGGAATGCAATCTGCCGCTGTCTGTCGTGAATTCTGCCCTCGATCTCACTCGCCGTGTTTTATTGAGGTATTTGGGGAGGGAGGGAGGGAGGCAGCGACCCACTGTTGCTTACTTGAGCTCTTTTGTTCAGCCCCTTCCGACTGTTGCTGGCTAGTTTGTGGTCAAACGAAGCGTGAAGTTAAACAGGGACGCGGCAGCAGGTTAAGTCGAAGCTGATAATGCGGAGGAAAGCCTCCAATCGTAAACAGACCAATAGTGAAGGCAGGAAACCTGTGAACAACACGATATTCGCTGTCCTTTCACCGCAACTCCCGATCAGCACGGTTGGCTACGTACGGTGTGAAAGAAGTTCAAAAAGCATACACACACTCAGCCTTGTTGCATTGCGTAAAAATGAACCCCCATCAGGAGTTCTCTAAGAAATGCACTGTGGACCTCAACACTGAGATGACAAAAAAATGTTTAAATCACAAGACCAAGATCCCCCGTGTAGCCTTAACAGACTGTAGAGGCAAGTGCTGTTAGCGAGCACCTATGAAGGCCAGAACAGCACGCGAGGGGGTGGGTGGCCAGCATTACGCCCGACCGCCTTTGTCTCCCTAGTGGCGACGTTTTTACACATCGCACCAGGTACTCATTTGAGGCTGAGCCGACCTAGGGGAGGCCCGGGACCGGTTACAGATAATCGTCACCGGTGTTGGCCGTGAGCGGGAATCGAGCTCGGGTCGCCAGGTTCGTAGCGCTAACCGCTGCACCACCGCTCCCCGCAA